ATAGGGATGGTGATTTTGGCCCACACAGGGCCAAAAGAACACCAGGCTACTGATTCCCTTGGTTTTGCTGCAACCAGAGGAAAATGCTATGCTTATCTCCAGCTCACAGGTGAGCAACTTGCAACCCTAGGGCTGCATGTAACTTTTAGACTAATTTCATGGACTGGCAAGAGGTTAACCAAAAAAGAGGGGGGGAGGGTGGCAGAGAGATAGGAGCAGCAAGCTAGTGGCAGAAAGAGAGAGTAAAGGGGGGCTTTGTCTCTAGCCCCACCTACTTTGGGATCCAGCCCTGCCCACTGCTAGTACGCAGCTCTGAGAACAAAAAAAAATATTACTGTTGCACTGAGATCCTGCCTATAGTCCTCTCATAGGGATCTAGCTGGCCACTGGACTAGATGGACCATTGGCCTGATCCAGCAAGGATCTTCTTACATTATTGAGGTTGCCTACCCAGTCCCCATCTTGCTCTAAATCAGGGATAGTCAACCTTTTTATACCTACCACCCACTAATGCTCCTTTCTTGATGGTAAAATTTCCTTCTCAATGGAAGGAGGATTCAACTTGTGCCATAGAACCCTCTACCGCCCACATAGAATCCTGAAACACCCACTAGTGGATGGTAGGGACCAGGTTGACAACCCCTGTAGTAACAAGCTTACAACTAAGCAGTAGAAGTAAGATGTGATTATAGAGATAGAACTTTTCCCACGAGGGACTGTCATACTAGCTGTGCCCCACCTGGGCTAGAGTAAAGGAAATTTCGGGTTAGAAGTAGTTTCCCCAAGAAATCATTACTTTCTGCCTCTTGAGCCAAACTCAAAAGAGCTGGTCTCTGAAGGTCTGCAAGCCCCATACTGTAGGCCCTTAGAAAATAAAAACTTTGTGTTGTTCCAAGGAGGAAATAGGGAGCTTATTTATTTGAGAGAGGTTTAATGTGGACAGTATCCTGTTTATAAGGGACTGTCCATGGTACTGAATATTTAAGAAAAAGAAAGGTCTCTGCTGTGACCAGACTTGGATAAGCAATAGATAAAGCTGAAAGTGGTAACTAGTTCTCAATTCCTAATTCAAAATAGAACTGTATTAACAGCCTGAATAAGGTACTGAACTTCATATGTGCCTGTCCCCCAAAATAAGCTTTGGGTCGCCTCATATCATACATCTCATTGATCAGAAGAATATCCCCTTCAGAACTCACAAGTAATAGCTCTGATCAAAAGTGCTATAACCAGCTAGGAAACAACTTTAGCCTTGTAATACATAGCTGGGGGAACTTCTGCAGATGTTGGTCTGTAGGTGTTGTTGGACTCCAGCTCCCACCCGCCCCAGCCAGCATAGCCAAAGGTCCAAGACAATAGTATTGTAGCCCAGCAACATCTACAGGCTACAGGTGACACATTCCTATTGTGAGGCATCAGAATTCAGAATCCAAAATACTGGGTTTCTTGGAAGGAGTGACACAGGAAGCCCGTTATGTTTAGCAACAGACTCCAAGCCAAGTATTGATCCTTCTTTGTTTTGGCTTTAAGCTACTTGGATTTAGTGCTTTCTCTTCTATTTTTCATTTAACCTAATTGAAAGCTCAGAATTGTGGATGGCTCTACCAAAATGCCATCTTTGCTCAGGGTGGGGAACCTCTGGTTCTTCTGATGTTGCTGGACTCTCCTAATCTCTGACCATAAGCCATGCTGACTGGAGCTGATTGGATTGGAATCCTGCAGCATCCAGAGTGCCACAGGATCCTCACCCATGCACTATATTACACTGATCATGTTCATTAATCCTATACTGGAGTAATTTCAAAATGAAGCTGAACCCAGTCGTGTTCCCTTCCTTTCTCAGCTCCTCTACTAAATCCAGTAGCACCCGATTTAGGATGGTGTGGGTGGATCTCTTGTACAAGGGTGCCAAGGGGCACAAATAATAATATCTATATTTTAATATGGGTGAGGGAGCACACCAATTTTTGTCCTTGCTCAGGGTGCCATATTACCAAAGCCCACCCCCGTACCCAGCAAAGCATTGCTTGCTTGTAGCTGATACAGAAGTCTCACTGTTCCTGCCCCCAGCTCTCTTTCCAAATCCTGGTAGACCCCACACAAACATCAATATCAGTTAGACTGATTGAATCATTAGTGTGTGACAGGAAGCAATAGTGGCAGCAGATCCCTCTCCCAGCAACCTCAAATCCATTTCATGGAGCTCAGAGTGAGCCAGTCTGAGTGGATTCAAAGCTGGCAAAACCCTTTTCTCTCTTCTGCCCTCCCTCAAGCACTGCATATTGCCACACTGAAACAGCCAAGTTCAGCCAGAATTTAGGAGAAGCGCTGTCCCTTGCCTATTCTTTCTCAGAGAATTGTGAGGAGATGGTGATATCATCAGAATAGGTTATATCATTACAGGGAGCAGATTGCTTTGTCAGGCACTCTGGACAGAACAATGGAAAAGGAGGCTAAAAGGGGCAGTCATTGATGTTCAAGTAATAGCTCTTATCTTTTTGGTCATAATGAAGAACCCCATGAGAGAAGTAGTAGTGGCTGGTGCCATTGGAAGTGGTAGGGCAGAAGGTAAAGAGCCCAGCAGTTGATGGATCCAGCACTAATGATTTGCAAAACCATCTAATTCTAGTTTTGTCCCCATTCTCTTTGCTGAGTTCTATAAGGGCAAGATTGGCATGAAGGAGGAGAGAGCTGGCAAGTAGTGCCATTCGGTGGTCTATAAGAAGGCCGGCCAGTGGGGGCTAGCTTCAGACAGTGGTCAGTGCCCCATTCTTCCTACTGGGACTAACTGGTTGGCATTAACACAGGGACAAATTCAAATGACCTCCCCAAAAAACCCCCACCCAAAATGAAGTTTAATGCATGATGACCATTAAGAACCAAGTCAACAGACTATAAAGATTTTTTTTAAATGTATAATAAAGAAACCATCTCAATCCAGTATGCAGGTCAAACTTCTGCAATGGCCACTTTATGTGTTTTAATTAGCTGATGAGGGCTGTAGCTTTAAACAATAAAATGCCAGGGGTGCTTAGACATGCCAGATCAAAAGACAAAAATGGAAAGACAAAAAAGGAGGGTAGGGTTGTGCATAAGCTGAATCATAGAGAAAATATTTCCAATAGATATGGGAAGGACTTGTTGAGACAGTGTTTGTGCACACATATACACAATATTGACTTCAGAAGTCTTCACAAGCATTTGCAGTCTCTGAAAGATTGCATATACACTCAAGTTTTTGGGCATCCTCATCCTCTTAATCAGGCGATCAGTGAACTGAGATGAGTCACAGACAAACGGTGGAGCTATCCAGCACCTATTGGGGGCCGTGTCATATGACTGGTTGGGCCATAAGCAACCTTCAGGGATGATGGGAACTGTGGTTTAGCAACTTCTGGAGGGCCACAGGTTCATCAACCACGGTCTAAAGAGTTGTGATGGGGCCACTCTCTTAAGTGTCTAAAACTACCTAACTGCATCATGAAGGATCCAGAATAGAGTGTTTTCAATAGTCATAGCTTGGTTGTAGAAAGTCTGTCCCTGAAGAGACCCATCAAAGGTCAATGTTGTGGAACTTCTCAGGATCAGTACAGACCCTTTTGATCAAGTATAAGCCAAATGTCTGTCCCACTGAATGAATATTTAATTGTTAGTACATGTTAGATGTAGACCTTTCCAGTTCATGTCCAAGATTTGTTGTTCTGTGGCCCTACTTGGAGGTGCACAAGTTCCTTGATTCAATACTGTCTTTGACCTGTGCTGGGAGGGAAGCAGGTACACTGACTGGCATCAGATTTTCAATATCTCAGACAGGGGATATTCTCAGCCCAACCTGAAGATGCCTGGGATTGCACCTGGGACCCTTTTCAGGCACAGCAGATGCTCTAACCACTGAGCTACGACCCTTCCCCTAAATGAAAGATCAACAGGAAAATGTGTAAACACTGCACAAGGAAATCAGGATGAATGTTCATTGTCATATAACTGCCTGTCAATGAATTCAAATGAATGCTCAACAGATACTATAGAGGCTAACCTCTGCATAAAGCTTGTGCAAGTAAATTGAGATGAGTGCTGAATAAACAAGTCTTATCTGAAGGAGCCCCCATTAGTTTGTGTTCCTGCTGCTACTGCTGCTGGGCCTGAGTTCCCAGCGCTGCCCCTCTCCACATCAACACCTCTCTCGAAAATAAGGAAAAAAGGAAATGGTTCTCTTGTTTCCTCTTGACTTTGCATGACTAACTCAGCATGTAGTGATGACTTTGGGGGTTACAATGAAGGGTCAAGCCATACTTGATCAAACAGCAGGGCTGACATGACAGCAGGACAGAAGGGAAGACACCTCCTTGTTAACAACCCAGAGCTAATGAACCTTTTCCTCATTGCCTAAATGGGCATAAATAAATATACATGCTCTGCGGGGGGGGGGGGGCAGGGGAAACACTGGTTTTGAAAAAAGGGAGTCCCAAAAGAGCATCATGCCCCAATGAAGGGAGTGGTGACTATCCCAGATGGGACCAGAAGGTCCTGCCCCCACAGCTGCCCATTCTTACCCATGCCATTGACATGGAAATGAGGACAAATTGATGGGAGACATTTCCATTGTAATGGATCTGTGGCAGGCAGGCCCACCCAGCCAGCCACCCACTGCCAGAATTATCCATCCTCCTCCTGCTGCCTGGAGGAAATGCTTGCAATGGATCACAGCACCAGGCCTTGGCTAATAAGATTAAATGGGCCATAAATAGCCCTTAATAGAGTGGCACAGCTCCCACATTCCCCTCCTTGTCCTGAGGCTTGCTTTACCTTTTTCAGAAAAAAAAACTTATGAAAGTGGCAGGATATCTGAACATAGCCTATAGTTCAGATATTATTAATTAATTAACCTGTCCTTCCAAATAAGACCCCAGGGTGGATTACAGCAAAAAAATATAATACAACAAAACAAATAAAATAATCCCATGTTTTCAGTCTGACTGGATTTCTCCTGCAACTTGAGATTTGTTGTTCAGTGAATATCTATTTAATAAGCATGTGAGTTCACAAATTTTAAACATTAAAAACAGGGTTGCTCATATTAAGTCCTCAGAGGAAAATATCCACAGTGCCAATGCCACATACATTTGAATTTACAGAATTCATTGTGAGGAGCAATGCAGTTGCAGAAAGATATGAGTAAGTGATGTGTAGTAAGGGCTGGAGGTCATGAATGGAGGTCACAAAGAACAGACAGGTAGACATGCATGGCAGAGATTCTATCCTCATGACAGAGATATTTTTTACAGGCAGTGTAATCATAACTTGCATGAAGACAGTATACAATACAAGTATGTGCATCAAGCATCCAGCCAGATAAAAGGGTATTTCAATTATACATTAGTGTTCAGCAGATATAGAACTCTAAACATGCAGCCAGTGCCTTTGAATAAAGATCATTTGCTAGATAATCCATTTTCACTTTGTAGAGGGCCTGTCATCGCGGCAATCCTGTGTTTTAGATTCTCCCATTTCAATCTCAAGTGATATTCTATGGAACCAGCTTCTTTCAGAATTCCTCCAAGCTCCTCTACATATGAGGCATCCATTGCTGCTCTCTCACTTTATTTACAAAAAATAAAAATCTGTAGTTAATATAAAGCTACAAATTAACTTTAATTTTTACTGATGTCTGCTGGTACCTACTCATTCTGCAAACATTTTTGCAATAATAATGTAAACATGCAACTGGAGCTATATATAATGTGTCTCATTTTTTAGGTATAATTTTGTATTTAAAATATTCCTAACTCACAGAATAAATAATTGTAGACCCTATATAAAAGACAGTTACTTGTAATGTCAATATGTAGGGAGATCAGAACAAAATAATTATTTTAATTTCAAAGTAATTATATTATGAAATGTCACTAAAGAGAATAGGTCTACACATAAAGCGAAGAACAAATGTCAAACACTGAAGTTGTTCCAGATAAGGAACAATAGTTTGTTGGATTAGTGTTTTAATTAATAAAAAATTCACAAATACTACTTTGAAATTATCAACAATTTAGCTGAATATTTGTTACAGTAGCTGGATAAATACTATAAAAAAGAAATTAATAAAACAGTATACTTGCCTTAAAATATGAACATATTTTGATAATAGAATATTTATTTCTTTGCTTGTATCTGTTAATATAAATATTTGTTTTAGTAAAAAGTAGATGTAAAGGTTAATTAAGTGATATTTATTACGAGTTGATATAATTTTATATACGTCACCATTCAAAACTTTTTCTAGGGCTTCAGTTTTGAGAACTGCCTGGGAGCTTTCAGAAAGAGACAAATCCATTTTCTCAAAAGAAGACATTTGTGGATATTCTGAAGATTCATTCTGTCAACAGAAAACAAACAATGGAAAGCTGGAATAATCTTTCAGCCTTGCAGAACTGTGCACATACTTTTTTTCACACCACACTTATCACATAATATGTGACTGTATGTGTCATAGAAAGGCATTTTTGGAAAAGAAAAAGAACCAAAACAGAAACTGCAATCATTTTACATTTAAAAATTAAAAATGGCTCTTTAAAACTGCTCACCTTTTCTTCCTTTTTACGTTTTTTTCTATTTTCATCAGACTTTACTGGGTTACTTGTCATTGTTACCTGATAAAAAATGTAATATCATATTTGATTAAAATTATTTTTTTCCTGTGAAGGTATTGCAAGATGTAACTGCAAAATAATATCACAGTGCTGTCCTTACTCTAAGAAAACTAGACACTTTAAAAAACAGGGACAAAATAACTTGCATAGTGGCCAGTCCCAAGGTCTGTATTCAGGCAACAATTTTTATTTTACATGAATGGCACTGTTAACAGTTGTACAATTGTTTCCTAGAACCTATCACCCATCACTCACTGGAAACATTACAGTTTGAAACATGGAATAGATCAAAAGCAAGGAAAAACAAGAACTGCTGTTTAGGAAAAGAGTGAAATGGTATTTATTTGGAAATGAGGTTGGGCAGCTCTACTTAAACATATTGGCCCATCAATACTGAGAGGCTGAACAGATCTAATCGGTTTATTTCATTGTGATGACCACCGTATGTTTCATATTTTCATTTGAATGTGCAGTCAAAGGAGTACAGCAGAGCTTTCCAAACTGTGTTGCGACACGTGTGTCGATTGCAGCGTGTAATTTTGTCATGCGAAAGCTCCCCGTGCTCCTCCCAGGGCTGGAAAAGGGTTACTTTAAGCTCTGGTTTGCTAGTAAAACTAATCATGAGGGGAAAATGAATCCCTCATCTACATGGACAAACGCGCGCTCTTCTCCTTATTAAATGTAAACATCCTCCAATGGACACCCTTTAACTTTTATCATTCTTATATGCGTGCGTGTGTTTCCACACGCTCCCTCCGCCCCTCGTGTGAATGCACCCCATGGGAATTTTCCCGCATTTTCGCCCCCTCATCACCTCACACCCCCCTTAAATGCGGTGGTGGAAAAAGAGGGAAGAAGAAGCGGATCCCCGCTTCCGAGCATGCGCATTCCCTGCAGCGCGGGGAATAGGCGGAGCGAGGGGGGCACGCGCCGCAGGGCTCAGCTACCCCTCCCTCCTCAAAATTTTTCTGGTGGCCGTTAACGATCGGCTCGTGCTCAGGGAGTTTTGGCGGGAAGCGCGTGCCGTGTTTGCTCTCCTCAGCTCGGGAGAGAGAAGTCGAAGCAGAATAACGGTACAAATTGTATTTAAGAGAGTTTATTTTGTAGGCAGCAAGCACATTTGAGGCAGGCTTCCTGTATAGGAACTATGAAAAAAGTTGTGAGCCCCTCCCTCAGAGCCAACTAAGGTCTCCTTTTATCCTGGAAGTTTATATATAATTACCTTGTTCGCAAAAGCTTATTTAAAGTCTTACTCATACTCAAAGTCAGCCCATTGAAGTGAATGGAGATGACTAACTTTTCCAATTCTGTGAAGAATTTAGAGGGATGCAACCCAAAATCAGGTAGCCATGTTGAGAAAGGAGAAGGCACAACAATAAAGTAATACTGAGGACCAACTTTTATCAGGACAGCTTATGGGTTATTTATCCTTCAGCGACTTTTGAAAGTGTATTTATCCAATATGAAACTCCCAGTTTGTTTGGCTGTCATTTAAAAAGCACAGAAGCAACATGCTGTCCGTTCAGTTTGTTGCACCACATCAAACACCTATTTTCTCATAATTGCCACATACACAAAATTGCACACTGCTCCATATTCTTAATTGAGGATCACTCCTTGCAGATTCTGTTTTCAGAATTACAAGAAGAACAAATTGGAATCAACTCATTCAAAGCAGGCTACTGTAGTTATTTTTGTTTACCACATTTATATCCTAGCTTTGCTCTCCTCCAAAGATAATCTCCCCCTCCCCAGTTTATTCTCACAATAACCCTGTGAGGTGGGCTAAACTGAGATACAGTGACTGGCCCAAAATCACTCAGTGAGTATCATGACTGAGTGCAAATTTGAACCCTTGGCCTCCCAGGTCCTAGTCTAACAAACTGCTACTTACAAGTTTATTGTCAGTGCTGTAACAAGAACATGTGTTAATGGTGTAGAATTCATCATGTTTATGTATGCTTATTGTGTGGGGAATCTTACCTGTGTTATTAGATTTTGCAAGCTGGGAATTCATGTGCCTGTTATTCCAGATTAATCCACACACAGATTGAAAGTGTGTTTGTGGCATGTTACTCAGCTTCTAAATCTTTCCAAAAACAAATGAATCAGAAGAAGAGGAAATTGCTGAAGACAGAAGTACTGTATAAGAGACCACTACAGAAGTATTTCTTAGTTTTAAATGTTGCATAATAATTACTTTTTCCTACCAGCAGGTGGCTTCTTCACTGAAAGTTCTGTGTACTGACACCTCAGTTGTTGAGGGATACCCTTGAGGTGACTGCAGCTCCATTTCCGGAAAATGAGTTAAGATAGATGCAAGACAGTTTGCAGAAACCTGTGAGTAGAGAAATAAATCATGCATTAAACAATCGGAAAAGGTTTCCGACACAGAGCTAGGACTGCCAGCATCTGAAGTGAAACATTTGGAATCAATGCTCAATCCCAGGCATTTCCATCCACAACCTCTTTTCAATGTCAGAATGCAGCTCATGGGCAAGTAAAAAGTGTTATTGAGCAGGGTCAGAGTGCACAGACTTTCCTGATCAAGTAATGTGACTACCAAGCAAGCATCAGCTCCATCACCACCCTTGAGAAATAAGCTACTCGTGAAAAAATGAGACGCGGCTACTGAGTGAGTATTTTAAGGAATTTGGTTCTCAAGTTTAGGAATAATGAGAAAAGATTAAGGATAGAGGCATATGCTACCGTCCTAAATCATGTTTATGTAGCTCTTCCATCTTGTGCAGTCATTAGATTATTAAATGTTTAAATTTATTTCCCCTCTTTCATGAAAGTTCAGTAAAATAGGAAGGAACATAAGGCACTGCATTACATGAGTCGTGAGACCATTGAGCTATCTAGCTCAGGACTGTCTGTGGTGGTGGACTTCATGCTAGCAGGATCACCTTTGTTTTTGGAGACACACCAACTACATTTAGAATTACAGAATTTGGAGGCCAGGGATTTGATATGAGTGGCAGAAATGAACTGACATGACAGTCGTTCTATACACAAACCCACGTCTGGTTACCTCCTCCACTTTCAGTTTTCTTCTTTTCAGTGGTAATATTTTTTGTTGTCGTTTTGGGGTTTTTTTTGGGGGGGGAGGGGGTCATTTTGTTGTTACTGTTATTCAACAATTGGAAGTCAGAAATCCTTCCCTATCTATGATCTCTTCTGCCCATCCTGGTCTACTGCAATGCCTAACAGCAGCTCTCCAATGTTTCACTGGAGATACAATAATCTTTCCCAACCCTGCCTGGACATGCCAGTGAGTGATATAGTATATCCCCAAGTGCCATTCTGCTCCAATACCACCAGGCTCCTGTGAATTCCTTCCCAGGTGCATTGTGTCAGTATTGGTCAGTGAGTGGTAAAGAATGAGCTTTTGGATCCAGGTACCAGAATTGTATCATAAGGCACTTGAAGAACAACCCTGACCTAAATGTTACATTCCATTTTATATGTTGGATCAGGATTTTCTGGCAACAAACTACTACTGCTTCATTACAGAATATGTAAGCAAAATCATTCTAGGTTGGGACATTCTTGTATTTTCTGATTCTCTGGACCAAGTATTTCATATTAGTTTCAAAACATTTTACTTCTGGGCAGATGGGACATGCTTCTGATGTGAGTTTACTGGTGTCTGCTGTGGCCAGCCATGTGAAGAGAGAACACATCTCTTCTTCAAACTCAGTAGCATTCTGCACACCTGAGGGCAATGTTGGCTTGAAGGGACAAATACAATTTCCATGGAAGAATCTTCTGACATGCAGCACCCCCTGCTGACCCTTTGGGGAATGTTCAAGAGTAAGGAAATTAATTAAAGTGCTGCCACTAAAAATGCAGAAGGTTGGAGGGGACACAATTCTTTCAGTCCCGTATATGAAATGTAGGGAAATTGCTCATTTACATATCCAGCCAGCACAATCATGGCATTCTTTTCACCTCCTCTAAAGACGCTGAATCTTTTCCTTCAGTGATTTCCTATCAGAGTGTTCCCTTTCTGTCACTATTGCACAACCTTCACAGTTCTGCTTCCTGCTGTTACCTTTGTTTAATCATTTGTTCAATGTTTCTTCAAGACCTTTAGTGAGATATATTTGCAGTTTTAAAGCATTTGGATTTATACCCCATTCTTTCAACAATGATCCTGGGCAGTCGGCACTAGTCATGGTCTTGGGAAGCTGGCAATGAGTGTAGTGTACAGGTTAAGAAAATGAACCAAAATTTGGGAAAGTTGAAGTTCAAATCTTTATTCCGCCAGAGGCAAGCCATTATCTCTAAGCCCCTGCCCCCATATGTAGCATGGAGGGGGGAATAATATATACATAATTTATAGTACTGTTTTCATTATTACTAAGGTAGTAATAAATACTGAACATTGTTAGGATTATAGGATGCTATCTTATACCAAATCAGACCATTGGTCCATCTAGCTCAGTATTGTCTATATTGGCTGGCAGTCGGTCTCCAGAGTTTTAGACAGCAATCTTTTTCTAAGTCCTACCAGGAGTTGCTGGAGATTGAAGTCTCAGGTGATAAATTTATTAGTCTTTAAGAAACCAGGAGACTTTTAGTTGTTCTTACTGAATGTGTTAAATGTTTGATTAAACTACCACTGTTTAATAAGGACACAAAAATGTATCCTACGAGTGATTTAATCTCTAGTTTAAGCATTTCCTCTCATAACCACTAGGTGGCGCGCTTGTGCTTCCAACAGTTAATTACCTGATTGTGGCAGTCCCCATACAACAGTCACTGAGGAAAGCAAAACTGCCTTGGACGCATGTGCATTAGTTAGTGGTGAACCTCAGGCAGGGCCATCTTGCACATGAGACAAGGTAAGGAAGTTGTCTCAGGCTGCAGATTTGGTCTCCGAGGAGTGTACCTCATCTTTGCCACCTCCCCCAGGCCCACCTATTGCCTCTTCAGCTGCCCTCTGCCTGCTCCAGGGAGCGCTGCAGAGGAGGAGGAGGCGGGGGGGGTGCAGTGGAAGGGGAAGCAGCAGCAGGTGTGGGGAGGCATTTTCTGTTTTGCCTGAAGTGAGAAACATCCTAGGCTGACCCTGGCCTTGGGACAAGTTTTGTCTGAAAGACTGCTTTCAGTACAAACATGTTTGACCACTTAGGTCAATAGTGGGGAACCTCAGACCCAGTGCTTCAATTTGACTCTAGGCCAGGGGTCAGCAAACTTTTTCAGCAGGGGGCTGGTCCACTGTCCCTCAGACCTTGTGGGGGGCCGGACTATTTTGGGGGAGGGAATGAACAAATTCCTATGCCCCACAAATAACCCAGAGATGCATTTTAAATAAAAGGGCACATTCTACTCATGTAAAAACGCGCTGATTCCCAGACCATCCGCAGGCTGGATTGAGAAGGCAATTGGGTCGGATCCGGCCCCCAGGCCTTAGTTTGCCTACCCATGCTCTAGGCTCTATCTGGCCCACAGACATTTATATTAATTGTTTTGTCCATTTTTGCTTCTGATCATGCCTAGTTTGTCTGTCCATTGGCATGTGCACCCTCCCTAAAGATTGCCCAGAATAAAATACAGTTTTCCATCTGAAAATGTTCTTTGCTCCTGATTCAGTAAAGGTTCTTTACTCTTAATGGTGGCATCATGCTCTACAGATCACTGGAGTGGGCGTTTTCCATGTTTGCCATCAGTTGTTTTACATTTGTCCAGTCATTTCCTGACCTCCAAGATCAAATTTTTCACTTCTGTATTTATGCCACTACATTTTACTATGTTTTTATGATGTGTTTAACACTTTTGTACCTTGTTATGTTTTATTATGTATTGTGAACCCTTAGGTTTTTAATGCTAAAGGGTCTAGAAATTTTCTAAATGAATAAATAATATTCTAATCATGCTAAACTTAGGTTGACTCAATTGCTGGATTGGAGACTGTCTATTGCTGTATATATGAGTCAGTTAACGTGGTTGGATTTATTGTGGCATAAGCTTTTTCGGGGACAGAGCCCACCTCAGGATGCTCTCCTAGTTTGTAGGTATCAAACTATGAGGACATAGAGAAAAGTTTTGTTTCCTGTCTCCCAAATGAGAAAAAACTGCCAAGCAATGTATGGTATATCAATGGTGTGTAGTGTACTAATGAAGATCAGATCTGACCATATTAGGTGTGATATACTCCATATAGGTGGCCCCTGATGATAAATTGGCATAGCAAGTTGAATAGTGTAAATTAAATGGTCCTAAAGAGGGACAATTGCTTTCTCAGGTAGGCAAGCTGCTCCCAGACTTGGTGTGAAATTTGCTGGCAAGTTATAATTCAGCAGCAGTAGGCTGGTGTCTCTCTTTGAAGGAGAACAAATAATTGTTGAAGAATGATACATAATGTCTCCTAATTTACATCACAATAATATTGTGATCCTCCACACACCTTCTCAAATAAGATAAAGATTGCAGTCTAAAATAGTTTAAAATCATAGATTCATATTTTAAAAACTATCCAAAAGCCACAGCAGAGCAAGACCTTTATTAGTAGCAACTGAAATGTCATAAAGTATGGTTTGTATGCTTTTATGTACTATTGTAAACCAATTTGATACTTTCCTATGAAATAGTAGTAGTATATAAATTTTTTTATAAGTAAATAAAATAAAAGTATGTAATCTTCTCCAGTGCTTTTCTTCAGGCTGGATGTCAAGCAAACCTACAAAAAGGTTAGGAAAGAGGTAGCTGGGCATGATGGAGAAGGCCCAAAGACTGCAGCCTGTAAACATCTTAAGATGGAGTACAGGACATGTCATGCAGACTTAATTTGCTTAGCTCACACCAATTTGCTTCAATGGCAACTGGGACAAAAAAACCCCCACAACAGTGAATAACAAATAATGCATTATTATCATCAGGATAAACACTATTTTTAAATGTCTTGTCCTTTAAGGTGCTTCAAGCTTGTGTTTCTGCTGTAAAAATAGATATAAAAACTCAGTCTAGAATCTGGCTGAATACTTTTATTTACTGTAGCACTTAACTGAAGTTAGTTCAGGATGCTGCAGGGATTGTCCATCTTAGATGCTTGTTGGTTCAGTGAGAAAATTTTAGACACTATATTCAGTGCTCTTACAGCTACTTCCCTTTATATGGTGATACATGTATCTTCACGTTCTTCAAAATATGGGTAAATGTGCTGCATTTGGGGCCCATCTGGCTGATTCTGAGGCCCTCGACTTCTTTCCCAATAACTTGTCTGATGGCAACAGTGCTTTTAAGCTCCTCCCCTCATAACCAAGCCATGGAAACCCTCTTTCATGCCTACATGAAACAGACTCCATTGGGGTCTGTTCAATCTTGATTAGCTCTGCTCCAGAAATGGCTGAATTTCACAGTCTATTTAGAATTTTTGTGTTTGCAAGTGCACATGCACAAAGTGCTGCACCAGTTCCATTTGAAGTGTGGGGCAGAGATCCCAGGCATCCTAGAAGCAATGGATAGGGTACAGCTGCTAGCATCCTAGTTATTTTAAGAGAGGTGTCACCAGTGTGGCATGAGTGCCCACATAGGCTTCTCTGGTTCCCACAGGTTCCCCTCCCTCTATTGAAATTAGGCTTGAAAGAAGCATTCTAGTGTCGCCTGTAGGGTGTTGCAGGGTGTGCTGGCTTGCGGAGGTGGTGACAGTTTCTCTGGTTTGCAAACATACTCACAAAAAGGTTGGCAACCTCTGTGTTAAGAAATAACATACTTTTCCTTCAGAACACTTGAACTCTCCTGATCAATTCCATAATGTCTGTTAAAGTAGAGATTGTATGCTGGGAGCCAGACCTTTGTGTGTGTTGGGGGGGTCTTTTGACTCAGAGAAAAAAGACACAGACACCAAGTGTGGGTCAAGAGATTTATTAGACTTCTTGCCTGTTTAGGAAATCTACATCCAGTGAAGAGACAAAAAGCTTTGCAATTCCCAATGGTCCCATTAAAGTATCACTTCTGAAATAATTCTTAAATACTTATATCCTTAGAAAAAAAATGTCCCATCCCACCCATTTGGTGTCATTCAGCAAAAGGGTTTCCTCACCAGGGAAATCTTTTGAGCACCCTGCAAATGCAAGCAAATAAATAAATAAATGTCATGGGGTAGGAGATGATGCCTTCCCAGATGCTACCACCCCAGTCACAATATTGGGACTGTGGGGGGCCTTCTGAGCTACGCTGCTAGCAAGGGACATGCTTATTCCTTGTTGTCTTGATGACTTAACTGGTACCAAACAAGGAAGAAGTAAGAGCGTGGGGAAGGGGCAGATTCTGGTTCTGACGAGTGCACAAAGTGCTATGGGATTTCTTTAAGGAGGTGAATGAAATTAGGGCATCTGGAACCCAGCTAAGGGCTGCTTCACATGTGACTATTTTCAGAATGGATATTACTTGCTTGCAGGAAAAGATTGTATACAACAGCTTTACAACTAAATTTTCAAAGATTAATAGCCTGAGAAAAATATAACCAATTTGCCCACAAAAAAATCTATTAGTCATCTTTGGCACATGGATGGTCCCAGGGAGAAGGGAGCGGGGGGCGGGGGAGAGAATAAATGAACTCTTTTCATTAGAAGACTTAACTGCCAAATCACCTGAAAGTTGTTATTACACACAATTGCACAAGCAACTATTTGTAAGCCTTGTTTACACTGCCACCTGGGGTGAGCATGAGGGTCTACTGTTCTGCATGTACACACAGCACAAAGCCACATTTTCCAACACACATGTGCACATGCGGAAAACTAGTGTGAGTGCTCATCAGACACTGTTGTGTGCATGATATGTATTTTTCCTACACAAAATTTATTTCCTTGGAACAAAATTTCTGACACATGAAGAGGCTCCAAGAATGGACCTGTGCATCTCCTTGGCAAATGCATCTTCCCAAACCCATGTTTACCAAGGGAATCTGATTGTTGTGTGCGTGCATGTGTACAAGGATGAATCAGTAGATGGGAGTGTTTAACACTCCCCCTGCCTACTGCTTCTTCTTGGCAAGTGCTCTCCCAGGTAATCTCTGTCGTCATCATCCCCCCCACCCCCAAATATCTGGGTTTCTTTCCTTTCTTGAAATGTGGCTGAGCTTTTTTTAAAAAGGCCAGGGAAGGGATTGCATCAGAGAATTGGTTGGTTGGGAAATTGTTATATAACGCCCCACCAAAAAACAAACAATCAAACTGATTCTCTCCCGCAAATGTTACCCCCACAATGCTGCATAAGTGTGGTCTCATAGGAACAAGTAGTTCCACCATCCTGAGATACTATGTTACTTCTGAGAATATCCAGGACAGAACAGCTAAAATTGAGCATGTAGTAGACAGTGCATTTCTTCTCTCACATAAGCACAGGCATCAGAACCTCTGCCGGGTTAATAGAATGGGGACTGTCCTGTTAGAGTGCTGTGATAATGGAGGAAGATTATCTACCCAGTAATTACAACCCAATAGAATATATTCTTCTCCAGTACCTTCAGGAAGCAAAGGATGGTTTTACAAAAGGTAACTGAATCCATCTCTCCTGCACCTCCATTTCTCCTCCCCATGTCCCAGTTTGCTGTAACAGAAACTAGGTATTCCAAGTCCTGCTCTCCAGCAGGACCGTCAATATGTCCTACTTTGCAGAGGACAGCCTTCTGTTTGGAGGGGTGGCAAAGGACAGTCCTTTATTTCAAGGGCTGCCTACTGTGAATCTGGATTAAAAAGAAAGAATCCTAAGAAAGGAGAGCAGCAGAGGAGTGGGGAGGCTTGAAGCTGCCCATCTACAGTTATCACCTGGAAACAGCACACAACATTCACTAGGTCACTGTCTTCCCTGCTATGAAGAGATATGTGTTTCTATTTAAATAACAAGTTGTTATTTCTAAATTTGCAACTACATATAAATTAGTATATGCAAATCAATGGTTTTGATGATGCATTTCCTGGGGGGTGGGGGGAATTGTGTAAATGTCCATCCTACCCTTTAGGTGATTTCCTTTCAAGAACATGGGTTAACATCCCTAGTTAAACTGTTTTAGCCTACTTTTGATGAGCATTCAATACTTAAAGCACATTGATAAGGCACATTTCTCTCCCCTATACAAACCCCTGTTCTTTCAGTGCATGGTTATTGCTAGTAGCAGATGGCATGGTGGGGTGGCGGTGTTCACATGACCTCCCGTCAGTCGGATCTACTGGTTACTGTGAGGTAGAGGGGTGAAGTGACAACACTGATGCAAATGCACTGGGAGAAACACAAATTTGTCTGGCTCAACCTTACTACTGCCTTGCCCCTGAGCTACCTCCTGGTAAGTAGACGCAATGCAACCAACTGGAGGTCAGGTGCAAGCTGCCAGTGTCCACTACTGATTATAGGTGGAGTGATTCTTTACTGAATCTGAGAATGAAATGAGGCATTATAAGTATTCCAGGCTTAAATTCACCTGATCCAGAGAAGACGGTGTGATTTTATAAACAACCTTCACTTTCTACTGTCTCTTCCCTCATCATAACTCGTGCCCACCTCTCCACTTCAGGGCTGGTGCACTACCTCTTGTCCCACTCACAAGCCCAGTTGACTGGCAGCTGGAAAGAGCAATGGAAGAGTCCCATATGTCTTCCTTAAAGCTACTTTGCCTGCCACAGTGCTAGGAGGAGCACCACATGGATGTCTGCCGAGAGAAAGTGTCCTGCAGGCCCCCCATACTCAGCCCTCCCAGATACCTTCTTGTAGCAGCCCACCCCCTCCAACTTCCCCAGTCTGCATATTGAGATGCAGGATTTCCTTCCCCTCATTCATTCACCCCAGGCTTCCAGGCCTCCACTCACTACCTGCATCCACCTGGTTATCTATCAGAGGCTCCTGAACCAAAATAGCAGCATACAACCCTGTCATTGGGCATCCCCTTCTGTAACCTGCCAAAAAGGGGCAACTCAGATAGAGGTAAAAACCTCTCTTTGGCCCTTATGCCTGGGAAAGGGTATAGGGAGCCAGTGGCCTCACCTTTCCCCCACATTCAGGATTCTGGCTACCATGCAGTCCCTCCCTATAACCACAGGAGGTGACACCTGGTTTCTCCCTCTTTAAGGGGCACCTGATGACGTCGTCTCATCTCTCAAACTGTGCTGTGGCCAATGGGTGGAAGCTGTTCGAAGCCAGGAGCATTCGGCCTAGGCGATAGAGAAGGGCAGGGTACCAATGAACGCCTTCTGGTTGAGTCTGCTCACCCCCTGCCAGGCTGCGAAAGAGTCGAAGGGGCCAAAAGGCCAGCTGGGCCAGGTGCTGCTCCTGCACCAAAGCAAAACAAGATGCTACCACTCCATCCACCACCACCGTCCCATGGCGAGTGAGGGGGGCATAGGCCCCAATATCCATCTGCACTGAGGCTGCTGCTACCCTGGCTGGTCTTAGCTCACTCCCATCTGTCACCAGCACATATTGGCCTGGGTGTACCAGGCTGGCAAAAATAGCCTTCATGGGTGCAGTGGCATTCTCCCCCACAAAAAGGAGGTGTGCTGCAGTGAGGGCAAGGCGGCGGGGTGGATCCCGCGTCTCAATGACGTGGAAAGCAGTCCGTGCCGATGATGCCTTGTCCAGAAATGCCAGGAATTCACTGTATATGGGACGGCCTTGCTCATCCATGGCTTGGACCCGCTGCCCAGGCCTCAGTGCCCACACTGGAATCTTGGTCCCGCTTTCTAGAGTTGCCAGTGCCTGGGCTGGGAAACAGCCTCCTGTCTTTGCCGCTGCTGAATGCTCTAGACAAAGAGAGGGAGAGGGAGAAACAAATAGAGAGACCAACCCAGTTACTAGAGGGAGGGAGATTTGATTAAGGTGCAAATAAGTAAACATAAATGAAATTTGGTAAGATTTAGATGGGCTATGGGTGGTTGTGATGAGGGTAAGTTTTGTTATGGGGGCCTTTCAACTGGAATCAAGTGGCCTCTGTTTTGTAGGTTGGTGGAGTTCATATAGACTACTGTTCATGTAGACTACTGTTCATATGAACAGTACAGTTCATATAGACTACTGATTAATTCATCTAGCAGGGGAGTTGGGAAACTTTGCAGTCCAAGGACCACATTCCTTTCTAAGAAACCCTTTGGGGGGGCCACATGCCAGTGGTGAGTGGGGCCAAAGACAGTGAATGTAAATTTCACCTTTGTACAGCAGGTTAGCTTCTACACATACCCCTTCCTACACTCCATCCAGGGCAGAAGTTTAATTGGAGTTCAATGACACATTTCAGCCATTCAGGAACACTCAAGGAGGAGTGCAAAGCAGGGGCAGTAGGGGCAGGATTGAGAAAGGGGTGTGCTGAAGAGAGTTTCTAGTACCACATAGAGAGGATGGAGGGCCTGATATATGATGTCACATGCACAACAGCACATTCATCATTCATCTGAAATAGCCTTTCCCATCTGATTGCTCTCCAGAGGTTTTGGACTGCAACACCCATCAGCACCAGCCAGCATGGCCAATGGTCAGGGATGATAGAAGTTGTAGTCAATCAACATCTGGAGAGCTACAGGTTGGGAAAGGCTGATCTTGATTAACCAACACCTAGGATCCAATGGTCTTATTGAGTATATCTACACAACTAATTTACACCAGCTAAATAAAAAACATTGGTTAACGGTCATGTCTTCCTCAAATATGCTGGGAATTGTGTGGTAAGGGTGCTAGCAGGCAACCCCTATTTCTGTTTCCTCCTTCCAATTATAGTTTGAATGAATGAATGAATAATGCACACTCTCAAACATCAACAACAAATATTCTACCACTGATCTTTTACACATTATAACAAAGATAGCAAAGACTATCTTTGTTATACTTTGGAGGAAGTGATCATGCTCTCCTGGGTTGGAAGATACAGAGGCAAGGGAAAACTGAGTGTAGTCAGACACACACTCTGGACTTTAAGAAGGCCAATTTTGAAAAGCTGAAGGAGCTACTGGGTGTGATCACGTGGTCAGAAATGCTTGGTGAGAAGGGAGTCCAAGAAGGATGGAAGTTTTTAAAAGGAGAAATATTGGAGGCCCAAATGCAGACAATACCAACAAGAATGAAAAGTGGGAGGCATATAAAAAAACCAGTGTGGCTGCATAAGGAGCTTACAGATGAACTGAGAGTTAAGAAGGGCATGTATAAGAAATGGAAGAAAGGGGAAATCACAAAGGAGGAGTATACATGAGTAGCCAACAGTTGCAGATGGAAAGTCACGCTGGCTAAAGCTCAGAATGAGCTCAGGCTTGCAAGAGAGGTTAAAAATACAGTGGTACCTTGCAAGACGAATGCCTCGCAAGACGGAAAACTCGCAAAACGAAAGGGTTTTTGGTTTTTTGAGTTGCTTCGCAAGACGATTTTCCCTATGGGCTTGCTTCGCAAGACGGAAACGTCTTGCAAGTTTGTTTCCTTTTTCTTAAAACCGTTAATACAGTTGCGACTTGACTTCGAGGAGCAACTCAAAGCACGCGGTGTGGTAGCCTTTTTTGAGGTTTTTGAAGACTTTGGTGATTTTTGAAGCTTTTCCAAAACTTTTCCAACACCGTGCTTCGCAAGACGAAAAAACTCGCGGAACGAATTAATTTCGTCTTGCGAGTCACCACTGTACTAAAAGGTTTATTCAGCTATGTCCGAAGTAAGAGGAATAACAAGCAAGTGGTGGGTCCTCTGCGTGGGGAACACAGAGAAATGCTATTGGCTGAAAGAGAAATGGTGGAACTACTCAACACCTACTTTGCCTCTGTCTTCACTCAAAAGGAAAGTGATGCCCAACCTGGTGATAACAGAATAAATGATGTAAGGAGGGAGCTGCAGCCCAAAATATGAAAAGAGGTAGTAAGGGAACACCTAGCTACTTTAAATGAATTAAAATTTCCAGGGCCTGATGAACTGCAACCAAGGGTACTAAAGGAGCTTGTGGGTGTAATTTCAGAGCCTTTGTTTATTATCTTTGAGATTTCTTGGAGAATAGGTGAGGTCCCTACAGACTGGAGGCTGGCAAATATTATCCCCATCTTCAAAAAGGGGGGAAAGGAATAGCCAGATAACTACCAACCAGTGAGCTTGACATCGATACCAGGGAAGGTCCTAGAACAGATAATTCAACAGTCGATCTGAGAGCATTTAGAAAAGGATGCTGTGATTACTAAGACCCAGCATGGTTTTCTCAAAAATAAGTCATGCCAGACCAATCTGATTTCTTTTTTTGATGTAATTACAAACTTGGTGGATCAGGGAAATGTTATGGACATAGTGTATTTTGATTTCAGTAAGGCTTTTGACAATGTCCCCCAAGATATTCTTGCGAGAAAACTGGTAGAATGTGGGTTGAAAAAGGTAACTGTTAGGTGGATTTGTAGCTGGTTGACTGACCAAACTCAAAGAGTACTCATTAATAGTTCCTTGTCATCCTGGAAAAACATGACAAGTGGGGTGCCGCAGGGTTCTGTCCCGGCCCCATTGTTGTTCAACATTTTTATAAACGACTTGATTGAACGAATTGAGGGGATGCTCATCAAATTTGCATATGACACCAAACTGAGAGGGGTAGCTAATGGCGCAGAAGACAGAATCAGAATTAAAAATGACCGTAACAGATTGGAGAACTGGGTGCAAGCTAACAAAATGAATTTCAATAGGGACAAATGTATGGTTCTGCACTTAGGCAGGAAGAACCAGATGCACAAATATAGGATGGGGGTCATCTGGCTTACTAGCAGTACATGTGAAAAGCATCTATGGGTCTTGGTGGACCCAAGCTTAACATGAGTCAACATATTGATGTATCAGCAAAAAAGCTAATATTATTCTAGGCTGTATGAACAGAAGTATAGTGTCCAGATCAAGGGAAGTAATAGTACCACTCTATTCTGCCTTACCTCCCAGCTCACTGCGTCTGAAGCAATAATTTGCTCTCCACTTGCAAATGCAGACACTCAAAACTGGCTTGCACTGACTGTAATTCCAAGTGGACACACTTGGAAAACTGTGTCCAATTCTGGGCACCACAATTTAAGAAGGATGTGGACAAGCTGGAACATGTGCAGAGGAGGGCAACCAAGATGATCAAGGGTCTGGAAACTAAGCCTTATGAGGAGCGCTTGAAGGAGTTGGGTATGTTTAGCCTGGAAAAGAGGAGACTGAAAGGAGATATGATAGCCATCTTCAAATATCTTAAGGGCTGTCACATGGAAAAGAGAGCATGCTTGTTTTCTCCTGGTCTGGAGGGTAGGACTCGAACCAATAGCTTCAAGTTGCAAGAAAGAAGATTCTGACTAAACATTCGGAAAAACTTTCTGACAGTAAGAGCTGTTCAGCAGTGGAACAGACTTCCAAAAGAGGTGGTAGGACTCTCCTGCCATGGAGGTTTTTAAACAGAGGTTCGATGGTCATCTGTCATGGATGCTTTAGCTGCTGCATTGCAGGGGTTTGGACTTGATGACCCTTGTGGTCCCTTCCAGCTCTAAGATTCTGTGATTCAATAATTCTCTAACTGCTTTATAGGTTTGACAAACACAGTTTTACTGCCCTTCAGTAAATCTGCCTCAGTCTACTTCCTCAGTCTACTTGTAGTGCTTCTTTGGTTAAGATCTGTATTTACTATTTGGCTTCTGCTTGGAAGTAGAAAAGGTGGGAAATTAATGACATGTAAAGCAAGAAACCATTCTTTAGCCATCAGCCTTCAGTGAAAGGGTAGGAAAAGCCACCCTCTAAAAATGGGTGGGTTCAACAGCCAATTAAGAGCATCAGAATAGATCTGCTCAGCCTGAGAAACAAGGACCACAATAAGAAGAAATACTTACTTTTCAAAAAGGCAGCTATGGCTTCTGAAGCTCACATAACCCATCAGAAAGCTGGTAAAGCACACATAGTTTCTAAATAGTACTGATTTAAATTTCTTTAAAACTTAACAGAAGCCCTGCTGGATGAGGCTAAGGACCCATCTAATTCAGTATCCTGCTCTCACAGTATCCCATGGAAAACAAAAAATAATAATAAATAATACGGCCTTGGTCCTGTATACCTGAAGGAGCGTCTCCACCCTCATTGTTCAGTCCGGACACTGAGATCCAGCACCAAGGGCCTTCTGGTGGTTCCCTCATTGCGAGAAGTGAGGTTACAGGGAACCAGACAGAGGGCCTTCTCGGTCGTGGCACTTGCCCTGTGGAACGCCCTCCCTTCAGATGTGAAGGAAATAAGCAGCTATCTTATCTTTAAAAGACATCTGAAGGCAGCCCTGTTTAGGGAAGTTTTTAATATTTAATGCTGTATTGTATTTAACACTCAGTTGGAAGCTGCACAGAGTGGCTGGGGAAACTCAGCCAGATGGGTGGAGTATAAATAATATATTATTATTATTATTATTATTATTATTATTATTATTATTATTATTATTACCTGCTAGCAGGACCTCCATACAACAGTGCAATGATGGCAATATAAAGCATATTGTATCATGTGTGATTTATGCAGCATTGACTTCCCTCCAGCTAGTTCTTCAGATCCCTAAGATGAAAGGAGAGCCTCCCCAAGGTAGCAGAGAATATGTCCCGTTCTCTCTAGGCACTTTTCATGTCCAACTTCCTTGTACTTAACAAAAACAGTACTCTTTTCCTCCAATTCTCAGTTGGTTGTTTTTCAGTAATGATTCTAAACAGTTCTTTTTTCAGGGAGCACTCAAGGGTATACAGTATCAGTAGCCCCCACCCACCCCTGTTAAAAGTGTAGCGCTTACTGTAACAACTTCATGGTGAGCACTGGCATCTTTTTTTTCCTTAAAAAAAGCACTGATTCTAAAACGAACAAACAGCCACCCACAGCCTTGCAGAAGAGGGCCAAGAGGGCAATGCCTTTCTTTCTCCTATTCACTTCACCATTTGCAAGAATGGGGGTCCCTGTCTACAAGGAGCAGCCAACACAGCCCCAAGCTCACCTTTGGATCTGGCATGCAACTGACTTGTGAGATAATCTCAGTTTTGTGCAACATCTGCTGCTATTGTAGGTCAGATTTAACCACATGCAAACAGATGTTGGTATGTAGAGAGCAATGGAGTTGGTACGGCAGAGCAACTCAGAGAGTGAGCTGCTATAGGCATGTTCTCCCTTTCATTCTTTCTCTCTCTTAGTCCCATGTGTGCAATAAGTAAATAATAAAAACGGTCTACCGTACTCATATAATTCATTTGAAACCAATTGCTATGTCTATATGAAATGCTAAAAGTTGTCACCATGTGGGAAGAAGACACTTAAAAATGGAGAGTTTAGCAGATGCCATGCCATAGTCATGCATCTGCATATCTCCATTGTTCAGTCTTGGCTCACAGATGATATAGTCATGGCCAAGTGACCAAGGGTGCCCTTTTGAGCATACCATATGTCAATTGAAACAGTAAAAATCAATACACAATGTATCTTCATTGTTTGGGAAGGGTCACAGCTCAGTGAAAGAGCACATGCTTAGGTCCCAGGTTCAGTCTCCAGCATTTCCAGGTAGAACTGGAAAATATTCCTGTCTGAAACCCTGAAGAGCTGCTGCCAGTTAGTTTAGATAATACTGAGTGGTCTGACATTGAAAAAGGCAGCTTCCTCTGTTCTTATGACCTGCTTGCTACATGGATGATACAGTCAAGAAGGTGCTCCTGGTACCATGAGCAAGATTGTGCCATCTCTGTGCCAAGTCCAAACAATGAAGATACATAGAGGTGCAATGAAAGAATCCCCTTCCAGAGTCTGATAAGTGCTTTACAGGAGACATTTTTGTGAATGTTCAGTTAATTGGCATTCATCCATGGAAGAGAAATCAAATGAACATTTGAGGCAGTGTAGGATGTATGTTCATTAAAAAATATATCATTTTAAGCCTTATAGGTAAAAATACACTGAGCCTGTTCTAAAAGAGGGTTTTGTGGTTTTTTTGCTATGGGATCAGATTCAGTGGCTATGGCCAAGCTAGTGTGCAACCTGGAGGGATTGTAGTGGTAGTTGTTGTTAGTTTGGTTTCAACCCAAGTCTCCAGGAAAAGGGCAAGTTTAAATATAAAAAGCTAGTATAGCTCATTTTTTTTAAAAGGAGGTAAGACTTGCAGAAGCCAAGTGGATGAAGAGATTGGGGGAGGGCAGAGGACAGACAGACCAGGCCACACAAATGGTACAAAAATAAAGGCCATTTATTAAGGTACTTATGGCAGGCCAGCTGCCCTGAATACACACCATTTCCAGACACTTAAAAGTCCTCCATTAAACCAGTGTTTGCTTCTCTCACACTTTATCTTACACAGGCCAGGACATTCCTTCTGTACTCAGTATGTTCCACTGCATCAGGAGTGACCAACCCAAAGCCCTCCAGATGCAGCTGGACTACAACTCCCATCAATGCTCATTATTGGTCTTGCTGGCTGGGGCTGATGAGTGCTAGAGTCCAAATACCTGGCAGGCCACAGGTTAGCCACCCTGGCACTATACATTAGCCCTACCCACCATCCATCAGCCTGAAATACTGGAGCAATGCCTCCCTTCCAGAATAGCCTGTACTCAAGTGCTTGTCTCCACCTGTAGTAAAACCTGCACCCAGGATAAACTCTCTAGTGTTGGTTCACGCTCATCCTTTTTGCCCCACCCAGTCTCCATCAAAGCTGTTGCCAACCCTCCAGCATCCAGTGCTTTCCCTGCAAGATTGTGCTGCTCCTCTAGTCATTTACTACCAAGACAGTTTCCCAGTCTTTGGCACTTTGTAGTGTTGCAATATCCTTTTGGAAGCATGGGCACCCAGAAGCAGACACAGCATCCCAGGAATGTGTGCAGCATCAAAGAGACAAATCAAAAGTGTTTTCCTACTCCTGCTAGTGGAGCTCAGAGGAAATGGACAGTCTGTAGAGCTCCACATTCAAGATGCCCAGCTTGGAGGTGGCAGGCCACAGTACCCAGTGCAACCATTTGAAGATTTATGCATAATTTTTTATATCCACCGCACTTAGACCTAACTTGCAGCTTTGTAGATATCAAGGCTTTGGGGACCCAAAGTCCAAAGGGACAAAAAGTGCTTGTTTCTTAGCCACTTGGCTGGCACAGCTACTTCCTGGAGAGTATAAAGTGGCACAGTCCATATTGGTGCCAGAGGGGAGAAGGTTGTGCTCCACTCTTTCTCCAGCGCTGATCTCTCCTGGTGTGCTGCAGTCAGGTAGGTGGAGACTCGGCTGTTGGGTCAGGCAGTATAAGCTCAAGGCAGGGCAAAGGCACTTCCTTCCCATCAACCAGAGACCCTGTGGGTCTGGAAAGGGCCGGAACACCAGCAGCTCATGCTAATGGTCAAAGCATAGGAACAAGATGCCACAGTCAAAGTGTGGTACTCTGGCCAACAGGGGGAGAACCTCAGCACCTAATCCCAACAAACAACTCAGGCCCCTACTGTCCTTAATATACCTAGGGCTGGACCAAACTTGTTGCTGCCCACTGCTTGTAGAAATCTACATATTTTTTTCTGGATGAGAGGATATGCAGCTCAGATGAAAAATATTAGCCAGGTGTTCAACAGGGAGAGTATTTGCAGGGAAATATTTCCTGTGGCTTTATAACAACCAGATCTTAGAGCAGGTGTGCTTGGTCCTAGCCCAGTGAGGGAGACACTCGGGGGAACTAAGCCAAACCAAGATTAGCTAACGCTAACATAAGGTATTTAATTGCATGCAGGGATGGGAGAATATCTGTGGTTCACCAGCTATTGCTGGACTACAACTCCCATTATGCCTGATAATTGGCCATGCTGGTTGTGGCTGGAGGGAGTTTGAGTTCAACAATACTGGTAGGTCCACAGGTTGCCCAGTTCTGATGAACAGTAAGAATGGAGTACAGCATTGCTACTGTTATCCCACGGTGACCCATACAAACAAAAATGTGCTCTTCAACCTTATAACTTACCCACTCCACCTTCCATTACCCCAAACCTTTCTTCAATTGTGCCTATCTCCCTTATACATGATTCACAGATACTCTCCCACTGCCGCCCCCATTCCTGCCAATCTCCCTCAATCCCATCTCAAAACTGTCCTTACCAGATTTGACAGAGCAGTGAATGTGAGCCTTAGATTCATAGTAGACCCAGTCGAAGCCAGCCTCAACAGCTAAACGTGCGAGCATCCCATACTTGTTGCGGTCACGGTCAGAGGTGGTGATGTCAACAGCACGGCCTTCATAGTGCAGCGATTCCTCTGAGTGGTGCCCATCTTCATCCCAGCCCTCCGTCACACGCAGCTTTACCCCTGGCCACTGGTTCATTACCGAGATGGCCAGAGAGTTTAGGCGATCCTTGCAGCGCTATGGGAAGTGGGTGAGAAGTGACAGAATAGAAATAGATCAGCAAAGAAGAGAGCATTACCTGGAAGTACAAAACTTGGATTAGATTGGGGTGGCCATGTGTCCTTCTTGACAAAGGACAATCCTTTCCTTGAAAGAGTGGCAGAGAATAGTAATAGTAATACTGTAATAGGAATAGTAGTACTAGTAGTAAATAAAATAATAATAATAATAATAATAATAATAATAATAATAATAATACATTTATTATTTATACGCCGCCCATCTGGCTGGGTTTCCCCAGCCACTCTGGGTGGCTTACAGAATATATAAAACATCAAACATTAAAAACTTCCCGATACAGGGCTGCCCTCAGATGTCTTCTTAAAGTTATGTAGTTCTTAATCTCCTGAACATCTGAAGGAAGGGCATTCCACAGGGAGGGAACCACCAGAAGACCCTTGGAGGAGGACCTTAGTGTCTGGGCTGGATGATGGGGGTGGAGACGCTCCTTCAGGTATACTGAAAATCTGTTTTTGTTTTGTTTTGTTTTACAATGTGTAAATGGGTAGTCTAGATTAAATTCCCCACCATATCAAGCATTGCTTAGCCATAGTCCAGAACATTTACCATCTGGGCAACAAAGAGCCACACCTGGGTCAACACACATGCAGCCAAATGATGTGATAACATCCTGATGTCTTAGCAATTCAGTCCACAACTAGATGCTAAAGTCACTTTGCTTTTCAAAATGTATTCTACATTCTTGTTAAACCCCTCTCTAATTTTAATAATAATAATAATAATAATAATAATAATAATAACAATAATTTTATATACAACCCTTTATCAAAAGATCCTAGGGTGCTTACAACATTAAGAACACATTTTATAGAGCATAACAATAAAAACCTAATAAAAAGCACAATAATAGCATAATAATAAAATAATCATAATAACAGCCACTCCCCCAGTTTTAACAGACCATAGATTATTTAATGGACAAAGGCCATATAATGATAGTGCCAGGCAAGCCTCTCTGGGGAGAGCATTCCACAGATTGGGGGCCACCACAGAAAAAAGACTAATTCTTGTGTTGCCACCCTCTGAACCTCTCAGGGAGTGAGGACATAGAGCCTTAGATGACAAGTGCAGGGTCCAGGTTGGTTTGTATGGGGAGAGGCTGTCCTTAGGTATTGAGGTCCTGAGCTGTGTAAGGCTTTATAGATAGAAATCAGCACTTTGATTGGGTTCAGAAGCTAATTGGGGACAATAATAAAATAAATAAAATAAAATAATAAAAGCCACCTTACATCAAGGGCACTGGCTCTTTTTCTTAGGGGTCCAGACCCCTTCAATGTTCAGAGGACCCCACATGTGATGTCCTGATGTAGCATGACATTGTGTGTGTGTCATCAGGACATAAAGACATCATGTCATAAAGATGTGACATAAAGACGTTGTGTTGGGCCCCTTCAATCCTCCAGAGAAGGTGGTACCTCTCCCTTACATAGAGACATAATGGTCCCTCTAGATTGTCAGGATTTTGCAGGAGGGATTCATGCACTTTAGGTGTGTGCAGTTAAGGTGGATTAAAAGTCTCCAGTGCACAACAAATCCTCCTTAAAAAAAGACTTTCTGCAGTTTGGAAAATGATTGGAGAATTCATTGAAAAGTGTGGGATAAACTAATGACTAACAAGAAGATGTGTAAACACTCCAAAGTAGATCAGGATGGCTACAAGATGGGAGATGATTGCCATATAACTACCCTGTAAACAAATCAGAATGAAAGCTCATTAAAGACTGGTCATACTGTAGTCTAATCTCTGTGTAAAGCCAGTCAGGGTGAAAGTTCAAGAAACAGGTAATCTGGAGGGGCCCAGTTTCTCAGCTCAGCCCTTGTTCCTGCACAAGTAACATGGGTTCACCCACACCACTTTTTAAAATGCATAAGAGAACTTTTGGCAAAGTTAGAGAGATGTTGTATGCATGTGCACAGAGTTGCAGGATTTGTAGAATGACCTCAATTATTTTTGTAGCATCCCCACGCCATTAAGTTTTTTCTAGATATCAGGAACTCATTATTAATATATAGATATACACACCATATGGGCATGTCATGCTCTATTGCTTCTGTCCATACTGAACAATATTAAATTCATTGCTTTACTGTCCTGTTTTCCCTCCATGCCCTATTCATGAACCTCACTGATTTGGCTTACAAGTAAATGAGTCACGAAATATGTCACTTGTGACTAAAGTCCTGCACAGACCTAAAAGCTTACATTAACCCTGGGATACCTGCACAGGCCTTTCTGATCTGAGAGCAACCAAACTGAGTTTCTTGCAGGATGCCGATTGATTGGTAATGACCCAGGTGATCATGTGTACATTGGTGCTGTCAGGGCAGGACTTTGAGGCAGAGGTCCAGTACCCCTTTCTTCAGAACAAGCAGAAGTCCCCCCATCCTGAATACAGCAGGGCTGGTTACCCACAACTGAAATAAAATGAAGTAAAACACATTTCTATCTAAAGAGGGTGTGTGCGTGTGCTAAGTTCAGAGTCAGAAATGTCCTAAAACACCACTGCACTCATGCTGCAATATTCACACATACAGTGGTACCTCGAGTTACATACGCTTCAGGTTACAGACTCCACTAACCCAGAAATATTACCTTGGGTTAAGAACTTTGCTTCAGGATGAGAACAGAAATCATGCAGCTGCAGCGCAGCAGCAGCAGCAGGTCCCATTAACTAAAATGGTGCTTCAGGTTAAGAACAGTTTCAGGTTAAGAACAGACCTCCAGATGAATTAAGTTCTTAACCCGAGGTACCACTGTATTTCATGAAATCCTGGGACATCACAACAGAGAAGCAGCCCCACATTGGAATGTGTGGTTTTGTGTGTGGAAAAAGAGGGGAGAATCATCCCAAACTGCAAAAAGACAGCAAAGCCCTTCCATGTGTGACCTTGGAATGTGGCCAACAATCTGCAAGGATGAAAGGCCTGACCCTCCCACTCCTTAGGTCACGTTTCACTCAGCCTTGAGAAGAGGGCAAAGAGCAATGCAGTAGCAGTACAAGGGTGAGGCAAAAAACCCGCCCCTGCATTCAGAGGAAAGGTCATATATGGCCAGGGCTGGCCTTTGTCCCTAGTAAAACAGGGCAGGCACAAAGGGCTATCCCAGTTTCTACAACCACACACCACTGTTTGTTCTGGACCTCAAGAGATAAGGTGCTGCAGAAGGCAACAAACAGTGTTTTATATATGAGAGAGATTTATTTATTTCCTTAAAATACCATAGGAAAGGTGAGGGTTACATAGTTTGGGGTTACATAGTTGGGTTCCCATCCCCATCTCTGGCTCACTTTTCCTTGTAACAACAGATAACAAACCACTCCAAATCACCTTAACTTTGCATACTGTAGAAACAAACAAGCTGATGAGTCCCTTGGGTGAATCTGGCTGCATCAGGTTTTGTGAGATTATTATTATTTATTTTATTTTATTCAATTTCTTACCCACCCTTCACCATATGGTTCCTGGGTGGAGTACAGCAATGCTTTTTTAAAAAATAAAGTACAATATTAAAACCAGTTTAAAACAAATGTTAAACTGCAGACCAAGAATAAGGACTAGCTCTAGACATGTCAGGACCCCAGAACACCATGTTAATGCTAACTCCTGAGTTAGTGAATCCAAATACATGGGCTGTTCCTCTCATCAAAATAACTCCTCTTAATACAGCCTTCAGACAAGACTTTGTTTGTTATTCCTCACAGTCAGCTGCACAGGGAATAGCCATTGTACCCATCACCTTCACCTCACATTCATACTCTTCCAGGCTATATCATTTACCCAGAGCAATGGGAGAGCTCATGGGAGAATTACATAGGGAATCACAAGGTACATATTCTTCTGCATTGGGAATAAATTCAGAACTGATTCACATATATGGTAATTCCAGCTGTAGCCAGAAGGTGTCAGCGTAGAGCTGCAACAGGAAAGCCAATTGACACAAGGCAGGTGCTTTAATTCATTGACCACAAGGCAAGTTCTAAAGAAACACCTCTGATGCCCAGATATAGGAACAGATACTCTCAGAAAGAATCCCCAACATTTGGTGCTGAGGCTGCTGTACCATGGTGCAATTTGAGCTGCAATGAAGGGTTTTGAGAAAGCAGCAGAAGAGGAAAGGTTCAAACTATAGTAGCTATGTAAGCGTCAGTGCCCAATCAATTCTCCCAAGGCTAACAGCATAGGGGCTACATGTTGAGCAGTAAAAAAGTGGGATTTTGTTAACAAGGTGCTAGATACTTGGTGAAGCACATAACACATCTGCCCTTCCCACCATCCAAGGGGATAATCATAAATTGTAAATATAAATACAGGGCACATTTTCAGACTGCTGCTATTTTCTGGTGAGATTCAACCACATATTGACAAATTCAGGCAGCACAATTATGGCTGATTGGCAGCTCTTGTGTAACAAGCCCATTTTCTCCAAAGACTGCACTTTTTGCAATAAGGGAAGTTACAGAAATGCACTGGAGGGTGTGAGATAACACTTGCTTTGATGCAACATCATCTAGCCTCATTAATGTTGTCTAATTTCACTGCAAACAAATCAGGCTGAATGCTCAGTAAACAGCACATGGAGCGGTACATGCTCACATATGAAAGGGATTAGGTTCTCCTCATTTCTTGCCTCAGTTATTGAGTCCAATTCATCAGTAAAAGGACAAAATTCAGCAAGTCCTGCTTCCAACACCAACTATACCCACATATATTCAGCCACAAATATTCTCCAGGGTTCCCTCTCCACACCCTTAGAATGGAAGCCACATTCCAGGGCATGCAGTCAGTGATGCTATGAAGAAGTTCTCCATGGTGAAAGGTAGGGGTAGGAACTATATTTACTAATCATTTGGCAATACCAGCACTGTCCACTTGCTCCTTGTCCAGAAAATGTAACCTACAGAAGTGGCTAACCTGTGGCCTTGCAAACGTTGTTGGATTCTAACATCTATTAGCCCCAGCCAACAATCCCAATGGTCAGGGGTAATGGGGTTCACAGTCCAGCTGCTGCAGGTTAGCCTTCTCTGATTTATATTATAGTGTACAGATCTACAGCACACTTTAGAGAAGGGCTGGTAAGGGTTAAGTGTGGTATAGAGCCTAGAAAACTAGGAATACCTGGGGTTCAAATCCCCATTCAGTAATGAAACTCACTGGATGACTAGTCATTATCTCTCAGTCTAACCTACTTCACAGGGTTATTGTGAAGATAACAGGGATGAGGGAGAGAACTACATATACCATTTTGAGATCCTTGGAGGAAGAATTGGGTTTAAAAAATTAGCAAATAAGCCTTAATGGCAAGGTAAAGAAATGGCAAGTGGCAAGCAAGGGCAGGAACTACATTGTTTCTGTTTTATACAACACTGTACACATTGCTTGTGCTAAATAAAAGTTAAATACAACCCACAATATTAAGTAGGCAGAGCTGGAAGTTTCTGCAGCTCAACTTCTTGGAGAGGACCAGGGCTCTGCTAACAGGCCTTGTATAGACAGGGGGAATTTACCCAGCCTGCATATTTCTGTGCTGCTCAGAAAAGTATCCACTGTTGTACAAATTGATACCAGCTCCACTAAGTTGCTGGCAACTTTTGGTCTGGAAAGAAAGAATGGCACTTATTCCTGCAGGAGCACTGAGCAGTGAATAGGCATCATGGGGACCATGAAAGCCACCTCCAGGAGGGACAGTTGCTTGAGGTGCTTGGAAGATCAATTGTCTTGGTAGAGCCAGAGGACGATGGCTGGAGCTGAGCACTAGACCCTAGAACTAGTACTCTTTCCCCTATCAGATTGAGAGGGGGGAAAGACCAGCAGCAGCTCACAAACGAATACCAGCAGCCTGTTCATAAGCATTCATGATGCTTTGTGCTAATGATGGTATTGGGTCTGTTGTCCCACTTTCAATAATGTATGCACTTGCAAAGGTTTTGGGGTGGACGTACTACTTTGTTTCCAGCCAATCTATATCCTGTAACCTTTTGATGGAATTCTATAACTTTCTATACCATTGGTGTTCTGGGTTTGGTGGCTTCTTCTTTTTCTGCCTGCTTTTCTTGTACTACTGTGCAACAGTACCCTGCCCAGATGGCAATAATGCAATCATATTGAGGGAGCATCACAGAACATCTAATAAAGCAGAATGATGTGTGAACAGTTCAGTATATATCCACCACTAATGCAATATTATTGCATCAATCACATGTTGCAGAATACACCCAGAAACCTCCCTATCTCCGCCCATGCATGCATGCACGCACACTCCAATCTGGAGGAGCCCAGAGGATGTTGGCCTGGCCTAACTTAAGCTCCCTGCAAATCATAGTGAGGGAGGTTTGGTTCAGAGAGCAAGGAGAAGGAAGCTGGGGCTGGGGGGCGGTGATGGGCGGAAAAGAGGTGAGGCAACTATTCCTGGGCCTTATCTCCACCTCTGAGCTCAGGCACCAGAAGCAAACAGAGACTGACATTCTTGAGAAAGATGGAGTGATAAGGACATGTGGGCGGGATCCTGTTGCCCAGGGAAATGCAGACCCTTGGACTTGATGAAACTCAAGTCAAGAGCAATAAGAAACCAGCAATGGGGGTGGGGGTGGAGAGGAAAGGAGGGGCTGAACAAGAGCACCCCTCATGCTCAGGTGATACATTTTGAACCTAGCATCATGCCTCAGAAGCTATGCCTTCAGCATGCCTGCCTGCTCTGGAGAGAAGGTGGGGATGCTGGCAAAAGTCCAAGTATTATCAGGTTAGCTTGTTGCTGTAAACATACACAAACATCATTGGATTTCAGGTTCCCTCATCCCTAACCACTGACCATGCTGCCTGGGACTGATGGGAGATGGAATCCATCTTCTGACGGGCCAAAGGTGGTTCTTCCCTGAACTATAACATGCTAAGTGATACTTCTAGCAGAGTCTCTTGAATGGGGAGCCCTTGTTGAAAGCCACATAGATCCCAAGCCCTGTTAATAGAGGCAATGCATGATTTTATGTTATGATTGTTCAGCCAGATAATCCATCCCTATGCCTAGTCAAGCTGCCATGGGCAACACCAGTGAACCTCTTTGGTTTTGCCTACTCTATCACACTCTCTGTATTTTAACCAGTGACAGACCCCACCCCCATGCCCCTAGGGTGGGTGAGAGCACTGACCCAGCAGACCTCCAGCTGCATCCCAGAGGCTTTAGGAGACTCACCTGCACCATAACCCTGACTGGTGGCAGGCAGGGTGGCAGACCAGGAGGGGGAAATAGCTCTTTATCTGCATTCCTGGAGCCCACAGGCATTTCTCCGGTGATACCAAAAGAGTCCTACATAACTTCCGGCTCCACAGTACCCATCCCCCAACTATCACCATCCCAGGTTCCTGCTCCAACGGGCAAGACTTGTGGAATTTACAAGAGGGAATAGTCCCCTGTGTAAGCATCTCAGTCATGCTTGTGTCAACATCTTCACAATGCTCAGCACTCACCTTGCTCAAATATCCTTCCAGCAACCCTGGCCAGCAGGGGAAACTGAGGCATGGGGGAGGGGGGGGAAATAAGCCCCATTCAGCATCTTGGTGTCAGAACCGAAACCTGCAGGTTCTTGTAACTATGTCATTTAGGGAGGTGTTAGGAGCACCCCCCTCCCTATTTCCCCTGTCTTTCAGATCACAGGGCTCTGTACAGAGCAGTAGCCACATCTCATTGGGTCTATACTCCAAGAGGCAGTTCTAAAACATTCAGTGGGCCTAGATCTTTCTGACATCCCCTGTCACTCCAGAGGTCTAATCTACTACAACCAGTCTATTGTACTTCTTCCCCTACCCCACCACAAAAAAGAATAGCTGGCCAAAAGTAGCTGGACCCTAGCAATTCACCTCACAGGCCTCCCTCCCAGCCTTTCTTCCCACTATGCATTGGTTATCTCAGACTATTGTCAAAAGTGAGGCTTTAATCAAGAGTTGAGGAACCTGTGGCCCTCCAAATGTTGCTGGTCTACAACAGCATCTGCAGGGAGCATAGGTTCCCCATCCCTGCTTTAAACGTTAGGAGTTTGTTTGTTTTTCATTTACGACATCTGTAACGTAAAACTTTCACTTGGATAAAATGGACATCCATACATGCACACAAACAAACAAACAAACAAACAAACAAACACTACAAGGTTTTTAAAGGGTCCAATATGAAAACGCTCCCAGAGCTGGGGACAGAAGGCAGATTGTTTTCCCCAGTCCTTCCTAGTCTAGATTTAGTATATAACCCTATTTGGGGCCACCATCTCCTCAAAACAGGCTAAATGGAGTATCCGGATGGTTTTTAAAACAAAGATTAGACTCTGAATAGTTTGCTTTTTAAGAATTAGCTTTGATGTTACAGTATGCTTAGAAGGTGGCCTAGTGAACTCTAGGCTGTCTATAGACAGTCAGATTCTTTGCTTCCAACTTAATAAGCAGGATCACCTTGCTATAACAATCCCCCAAGACAGATTGTATCCCAGTTATGTTAACTGGAAAGTTAGGGCATCCTTTTCAAAATGTCCCAAACATAAGGATCAGCCTACCAATTTCCCCCACAACTACTTCCCCCAGGTCAATTCCCCGCAGACGTTAGCCAAAGGTAAAGTGGTGGGTAGGCAATGAGGTAAATAATAAAAAAAAATGTGCATTGTGTCTTACAAATCAGTTTAATTTGCTGTGAGACATTAGTGTTGCATGCAGTATTAGGTTGGGAAGAAAAGAGACGGAAAGAGGGGAAGGGTGGGCATGGTGCATGGGGTGGGGTGGGAATGCTTCTATTCTTCCATGTAGTGTATGTGTGGGAGTTTGTGTCAGCATCACTTGTGTGGGTTCTCTTTCTATTCACTTGTAATATTTATTTGGTAGTGAGAGAGGTTGGGGGTAGCCTAGGGTGTGGTTAGTTGTCTTGGGTTGGCTGTAGTGAAATTTGTTTGTGTGTGTGAGGGGTGGATTTTTGGGTCAGGTTAGCCATATTGATTTGTATGCTGTCAGTGGATTCTTGTTGTTGTCTTGTTCGACTATGTATGTGATAAAGGGGAACCATACTCTTCTATTCCATGCATCTTCTTCTATTTGTCCCCATGTCAGTAATGGATCCCCATATTTAGCTTTGAAAGGGATTTTCCCTTCCCATAGTCAAGAGACTGGCTGGGGACTAAAAGAGTCCGATTTCAGCTTTTGCTGTAGCTGCATGTGACATGCTGAGCCTGCTAGGCATGTTTTACAGGGCTCTAGCTCAGTGGTGGAGTATCTGCTTTGCATTCAGAAGGTCCCAGATTAAATCCCCAGCATCTCCAAGTAGGAGTGAGCCTCTCCCATTTGAAAATCTGGAGAGCCACTGCCAGCTGGTGTGAACAATACTGAGCTAGATACACCAATGGTCTGATTTGATGTAAGGCAGCTTCCTATGTATGCTTATCCCTAGTCCCATAGGCTTTTCTGGCATGGCATACTTGAATCCCTCCTGCTCTATGGCTATAACAGCATAGGAGCCAACTCCTAGGTGCTGTAGGGGCTTCAGCTGCCACAATATAATATTTGAGGGGGCTGGGCCCCCACAAAGTTTATAAGCATTCCCATTCAAATGGTGTGTGTGCACTGTGTCATGTGACTGATTATGTGGGGTGGGCTTACCTGGGCCCCACAATATTTTATTCAAGTTGGCACCCCTGTATCACAGTAATTGCCAATGTGGTGCCCTGCAGATTTTTCAGACTACGACTCCCATCATGTTATGCTGGCTGGGTTTGAGGAGAGTTGCAGTCCAAAATATCTGGAGGGTAACAGGCTGACGAAGACTGCTCTGCCATGTCATCTGATATTGAACTGCATTTTTCTTATATTGTACGGTTTAACTGAGTGTCAGTAGCATCTGAAGAGCATAATAAATAACCCACTACCCTCTAGCCTGGAATTCTGTTTTCTGACATGACGAAACCAGCACAATATTCCTAGGTGGTTCACAAGCAGAGCATGTCCTCAGAGCTTTCACTATCCCTTGTTAATCTCTATCATTTGATATGCAAAGTGGGCAGCAGCCTCTGAAAATAAATGTTAAAACTTTTGACTGTTGGAGCTAACAGCTGCCAACCAACACCTTTGATTTTTCATCTAAGCCAGGAGCGGACAGAAGGCTGATCATGATTAACCAGTGCAATGGCACAGGTAATTGGACTTAACAGCCTAACATCCCATCCACTCATTAGATGGTAATGTGCATTGTTTCACTTGCTTCAGAATGTGATAAATCAACCCCAACATTTTTGGAGCCATCCTGCTTATTCTCCCAAGTGGGGCCCCAGACTTCTGCCCCCAAGTCTTGCCCCTGTTGACACAGCTGCAACAGTTTCTGGTGATCCACCCAGTACATGCTGGCTGCAAGGATTCTTACAAAGGATGTTGGACAAGATGGACTTTGGTCAAAGCCAGCAAGGCATTTCTTATGTTTGTTTGTTTGTTTGTTTGTTTACATATTTAAATATTTATATCCTGCCCTTCACACCACAAGTTATGTGAAGGGAGCCTGAGTACAGTATGCAACTTAGATTACATTTGTAGAATACAAGAATTATGTTCTTTCTTTTTTAAGTAGACCACTCAAGACTGATCTATTTTTTTAAAAGTTTGGGACATGGTGGCATCTGCCTGTTGCAGAGTAGATCGAATTAGGTCACAATTAAAGATACATTGATTGTTCTTTTTATTTATTTAAATAATGCTATTAAAATCAAGTGGCAAAGGTCATCTTCAAGATATGGCATTCCTGTCAGGTGAGACATCCAGAATATAGCCTCCCTATCCTAAAATCCAGTTTCTGGGATTGATTGTACCCACAAAGCACTTATCCATGCCTAACCACTTGCCCAAGTTCCAATATTGGGTACTGCTTCCCTACCTATCACACTTTGGGTGCAATCCTATGCATACTTACATGGGAGCAAGCTGTACTGAACTTAGTGGGATGTAGTTATGGCAAGATGAGCTCCGCACCCCAGAGTCATCTGCGACTGGACCTAATGGACAGGGGTCCCTTTACCTTTACCTTTCCACACTAAAGCTGCAGCCCTTAACACACTTTCTAGGATGTAAATCCCATTGAACACAGTGGAATTTACTTTTGAGCAAAGCAACATAGAATGGAACTATGGGGCTACAATCATCAGTCTACTTGAATAGCTGCTAGGTCCCCTTTGTGGAGAATGAGCCAAAACAGAACTCTTGGTAAACCCAGTCTTAGGGGAGAAACCATAATAAAGGGGCATTGGAGAGAAGCCAAAATAGTTTCCAAGAGGGAATGTGCTGCTTGAATTAGATGCTAGGGAAATGCTTTCTGCAGTGATGGGGAGGACAAACAGCAGGTCAGGGGGCACATATGCCCACCCTTGCTCCCTTGTAAGGCCAAATATGTGCAACCACTGGAGGTAGGTATCAAAGTATTGCCCCCCCCCCAGACAGGTTGTTTTTGCTAACAGGCTAACCTTGCTATCACAACCTACTCTCTATGCAACAAGCTATAATTGGACAGTGGCTATAGAGCTGGACCTAGATCAGAAATCGGGATCCAGTGGCTCTCCAGATGTTGTTGGACTCCAACATACAGCAGTCCCAGTCTGCATGACCAATGCCTAGGGATAATGGGAATTATGGTCCCCCAGCCATACATGAACAGATCCCTGTATGAATCCTCTCAGCCACAAAGCTCCACTGGGTAACCTTGCTTGCACTGTACTTTTCAGCCCAGACTATCTCACAGAATTGTTCAGTCTATAATAAGAATATGAAATATATTGCAAATCTGTGCTGTGGTGATCACCTCTATGGAAAAGGGTGTGGGGAAGAATAAAGTTCATAATAATAATGATTCTTAATGCACTTCAACTATCATTTTCCTCTACATTACAAGATGTGTTTCCATATTTCAATTTATGCTGGTGCCTGATGAGACATCTCATTTCTTGAAAGAAATTGAGAGCAGGGATGAGAGAGGGAGGGAGAGAAATGAAAGGATTTAATGCTGTCTGTGAAACTAAGCAGGCAGGCAATCAATCAATCAATCAATCAATCCCCAAACACCTCAATTTCTCTCCATCACCATCCTACCAACCCTTCACAGTCCTAACAGTCTGGGCGCCTCTGCCAGATTGGGACCATGCGCACATAGAACTTCATTTGTGGCAATCCTTTGTGTATCCTCTCCAAGGGAAATGCAAAGGGTAATGACACAAGAATGGGCCTTCACAGTGGTGGCTCCTTGATTGTGGAATGTTTTTCCCAGGGAGCCTGTGGGAGGCAAACCTGACATCTTGACTAGCTGTTTTGGGCACCAGGTAAAAATCATGTTTATTCGCCCAGGCCTTGGGAGTTTAATTTCCTGAACATGTTTTTAAGTGGGGTGGGATGGAATTGGATTTGCTCTTCTGTGCATGTTATTTGGTATATTTTATGTTTTTATTCTTGTTTTATATCTATTTTGTTTTTTAAAGTTGCTTTGAGTTCATTCCCCCCCCCCCCGAAAAACGCAACCAATATATATAATCAATAATAACAAGAAGTTGTCGCGGAACGCATCCGCCCTCAACACCTAAAGAAGGGTGATTTTTCCCGTGCTACTGCTACCGGTGCCAAGCGGATAAAAGGATCTGGCATTGATTATGCATCATCGCCCCTAAACTTTCATCAGGGTTTCCACCGGCAATGAGAAACTAATAACGTTCCAGGTCTGGATTGGGGAGCAGGAAAGTGTTCGGAACCCGGAGCTGACTTCCAAAAAGCCATTCCAAAGGTCCCGGTAATCTCTCCATGCTTCCACGGTCATGGAGCCCTTAGCTACGCTTTGCTTTCCTCGAAAGCCGGCGAAACCCACAGGACTGGATATGGAGGTGGCAGCAAACAGGTGGCCAGAGCCCACACGGAGTGAGCAGGTGCCCTGGAGAAGGGAAGACGAGCCGCGAAGGATTCCTTCCCTTTTTCCGAAGGGCTCGCCGGCCACTTGGCACAGAGCAGCTCAGCGGAGCGCGGCGCCGTGTTTAGCTTAGCCACGGCAGGGGCACGTGGGTTCGGGTTCTAGCGTGCCGCTCAGGTAGACTCGAGTGGAGAAGGCAGGCAGCGAAAGCGAGCGAAGGCGAGAGACAGGGCGCAGCGCAGCGCCGCGGCTGGAGCAGGGGCTGGGCTTGGTGCCTACCTGGGTCATGAGGCGATCGGCGCCCGTGTTCTCCTCGTCCTTGAAAATGATGTCCGGGTTGTAGTTGGGCGTGAGCTCCTTGAAGCGCTCGGAGTTGCGGGCGATCTTGCCTTCGTACCTGCCGCTGGCGCCCAGCGTCTTCTCGGGCACATTGGGGCTGAACTGCTTGTAGGCGAGCGGAATGAGCTTCCTGGGCGGGCGGCGGCGGCTGCCTACCACTCGGCCCGGCCCGCAGCCGCGCACCGGCGGCGCTAGCAAGAGCAGAGCGCAGCCGCTCAGCAGGAGCAGGAGCCGCGCCGCCTTCATGGCTCCGACGACGACCAGCGGGCGCTCAGCAGCAGGAGGAACTGCAGCAGCGGCGGTGGCGGCGACGGCGGCAGCAGCCGGGCAGCCCCGGGCAGCGAGCAGCGGCAGCGTCCATGCGGCGAGCCGGGCAGGTGCGCTGATGGGCCGCTCTGAGCCGGCCCGCTCCGGCGCCGCCAATAAATAGCGCGGGCCCCGTTTGTTTTGGCTGCCGCGGTTAAATAGCCGCCGCGCTCTAGCGGTCAGCGCCGCCGCCGGAGCTGCTGCTCTCGCTGCCGCTGCCTCTGCTCGCGGCGCACGAGTGAGCGACAGAGAGGGGAAATTGAAGAGATCCGGGATCGGGGACCGCCAGGACCGCACCCAACCCGTGGCCGGCCCTCCCTCTCCCTCTTTCCTTCGCCTCCTCCCCGCGGAACCTGCCTGCCTGCCGCTACCAGGGCCCGCTGACGGGGAGGGGGGGCAGGAGCCCGACCCACCCCCGCGCCTCGCTCACCTGCTGTCATCGGGGGAGGCATGCGCCACGGCAAAGAGGGCCGCCCCTTCTCCCCCTCCCGCCTGGCGCCCAGTCCCAACTCCACGTGCGCCGCGAAGAGGGGCCAAAAGGCTGCGGGCCGAGGCACACGCTTACTTGCGAGTAAAGCCCACTTCTGTTAGTGTCAGTTCTGTCGCCGGAAAAAAGCCCCCACCAAGTGCAGGATCGGTCTGCAAATGCCATTCTCCACCCCACCACAGTCCCAGGCTGCCACAGTTGGCGCCAGTTCTGGCTGGGGGAGTTAAAACGGGTGTCCAACCCGCTCTCATATCCCTGGCTGGGATTACAAAAAAATAAAGAGGACAGAGAGTTGGGGGCGGGTGCCCTCAGCTCCTCAAAGCTGCTTCCCCTGCTGATCCCTTAATGCCCCCCCGCACCAATTTACCCCCATCTCCGCCGCCCCGTGTTGTGTTTGCCTTGGGGTGTCCCCGCCTGGCTCGCGTGCCCGGCTCCCTGGGTTCCGACGGGGAGGGGGGGAAGTTAAGCTGGTTGAAGTTTAACCACCACCTCCTGGGGCCCTATTGTTCGGCAGGAGGCCCGATATTTCCACAGCGACTCGTAGGATCTGATTAACCGGCTGAGACAACAATGCCGCCTGGGCCGGGCTTCCCCTTGCAGCTGCCAGCGGGCAAAGTCAACGCAACGCCCGGGAGCACAGCCTGGAGACATAGGAGCCAACTCCTAGGGGTCGACGGGCGGGGCTTACCTGCCCCCCATATTTAATTCAAGTTGGCACCTCTGTCTGGAGAGGAGCGAGGGCTTTCTTATTCAGTCCCGGGGCCGTGCGCCTAGCTTCAGAGCACATGCAAAGTGATAGGGAGGAAGGGAGGAAGAGAGCATGAACCCGAGCATGTGAAAAGTTCTTTTGGGATTCTCTCTCATAATCGAGAAGTCAGAGGCAGACTTGTGCTTCAGGACTTGGGGAGAAGAGAGTTCTCAAAACATACTGAAGAGCTTCGGCTTGATCGATTTTCTTTTATATAATAAATGGACTTCCCGGAGGTCTGCCCTCCTCGGGACTCTGTTGCTCCTCTCCTTTAATTCATCCATCCAGCCATGGGCGTAGCCAGGATTTTTGTGGGGGGGGCAGTACTTTGTTAACGGGGGGAGCAGGACCGACGTGATTGGTCAGTTAATTAAGTATTTCTATTGTTTTACTTGATCTGGGGCTGCTGCTGCCCCCCCCCCTGTCCCCTTGGCTACGCCCATGCATCCAGCTCTCTGCCACTTCTCTGCACTACCCTGTTTTCCCTTTCCTTACCAACCTGAGGTTGCACTGGTCAGGGGTCATTCCAGTTGTAGTCCAACTGGATCTGGAGGGTGCCCGTCTTAACTACCAATGCAAAAAGTGTATCTGAAGGACCCCTCAGACGTACCTTGATGGGACCCCGAATGGGCTACCCATAACCTCTAGTAACGCCCGCTCCCTCCTTTCACAATCAGAACATCTGCCGATTATCCATCTGCCACCTACTTACTGCTTTCTGTCCTACCCATCACTGATGCATTTAGGTCCATTTTAGTCTCTGGACCAATAGATTTCGCTTTTTCAACCCATAATAAGACATCCCTTCCTGGTCCTTTTGCTGAGTGGTGGGGTCCTGGATTTACTCTGATGGCACCACCTCGACCTACACCCACCTGGGTTACATTCTATCACCAGGCTCCCTATATGAGAGAGAGAGAGAGTGAGCGAACCAGCTACAGCCGTACTGAGCTGTACGGGAAGCTTTTCCTGGGGATGCCTTTTCCTTGGCTGGGCCTTCTTACCAGTGTTTGCAACCCATCCGGTGACCCTAAACCAAGATCTGATCCAATATTACCCTAGAAGGGTGCAGGAAGAGGTCGCTTTTTGAATATGGCAACCTATTACTGCAAATATAAGCATATCATAGCTATTGGTGCCTGCACAGCCATTCTGCAGCCAATGTGGAATTTGCTCTAAAAAAAGAAAATTGCAGGGTGAGCTTATGACTCGCCTTAGGTCACTCACTGAATCAATGGCAGAAGCGGAGTGGTGGTGGAGAGATTTGAATCCAAATCCTCAGAGCCAGCTCCAACAATCTAGGCACCAGGAACACACTGGCTTTCTGGGTTTGGTTGAACACATACACACGTGCACGTCCATGCTGGGGCTATGAAATAATCATGTCTCCTGCAAGTTCAGTGGAGACTGGATGGGATGCAGCATGGAGGGCAGTACTGAGGTTGCAACTCTATCCACTCACTGGATACTCTCCATGGGGCATTTGTTGCGAAGAGGACACCAGCAGCCAACTTGCCCCCGCCCCCCCTTGTTGCGGCTGCTGTGACAGACAGCTAAGGTAGGGTGGAAGCAAGAACAAGGCAAAAGGATGGAAAGGAAGGAGCCACAGAAAGGCATATGGGGCAGTCAGTGGTTCTGGCTATTAGGACCGGCAAGAGATGTGTGGACATGGGGGGGGGCCTTCAAAAGTGGCACGATTCATCTCTGGGGGAGGGCAGCTGCTTTGCATGCAGAAGGTTCCAGATTCCAGACATTAATACGTATCTTTAGATAAGGTTGGCAATATCCCCTGTCTGAAATCACGGAGAGCTGCTGACAGTCAGTGGGGACAGTAAGGCGCTAAAGTGGACCAGGTGGATGGTCTGATTCTGTATAAACCAACTCCCTAACTTCCTGTCCCTTGAGCCGGCACTCAGAGGCCAGCAATCCCGTTAACCTGGCAGGGGAGGATCGGCAGAGGAAGTAGTAACAACCACTTGATTTTAGTATTGAGCACCTTCAAGCACGGGCTGGTACAAACTTTCAGGGCAGCAGGGCTCCAACCATGAGGAAACAGGTCCTGGTTCTTCGTTCGCTGTTCCCATAAGGTCAGGCATAATCCTTGCGATTTAGGGATTATTACCCCGTCTATGTTGTAGTCCCTTCCCTGGACTGTATCAACTCTATCAAAGCGTGAGGTGGGTAGTGGGAGTGAAGAATAGCAGATAGGCTGAAAACCACCCTGCGTCCTAGCCAATTCTGCCAATCCAACTTTCCCTTTCTCTCCCCCCGCCTCGCAAGAGGGGGGTCAGTTTGTCTCCACACTGTAGGGGGAATCGACAAAGAGCCTACACAACCAAGAGTTCCCGCCCTGAAACGCTTCCTCTTTACTCCCAAACGGCCCCTGATCAACGTCTTCGGGCTTAACACAGCACGGCCCACAGGGTTACCATGCCCGGGAACCAATGTCCCCAGTGTGGAAGGACGTGTGGGTCCAGAATTGGCCTCCACAGTCACTTACGGACTCATTGTTAAAACCGTGTTTAAGACAATCTTACTCGGCTACGAGTGAAAGAAGACCTGGGGAAGCTCAGCTGTGCTTCCCAAGTAGTTTGAGAGCTGGGTTCTACAGCCTCTGCCTCGGATGCAGGGGGCCTCTCTGGTTCTGACGTGAGGGAGTGGGTGGTGGCGTTGACTGACTCGAAAAGAGACGTGGAGGGTGTAGCAGTACTGAATGGATCCCTCCCTCCTCAGGCTGGCACACGAAAAGGGCAGCCGGAAAAACCCCCATAATCACAACTGGCATTGCAGTCCAGGGGGCACTATTTCCTTATTTTTTAAAACCGAGGCGCACTTCTGTGACAGGAGAGGGGGAATTTTCCTTGCGTTACTGACCATCCAGATTGAATTTTTGCAAAGCAAGGCTCCTACTTGGACGCTGTCCGGGTCCCACGTGCGCGTTGGGTTCAGCACAAGTTCTCGGTGTAGTCACTGCAAATCTAATGCGCGGGAGATTATCTGCTCCAGGTTTATGAGTTTCCATTGGCTTCCACTGAATAGCTCTGCCCACAGATAAAAGCAGCAGGTATCCAGAGGTAAACGGAATTGCTGCTATCTCGTGATATCTCCAGGTAAAGATGGAGGGCGTGCTATTTTCTTTTTCTTTTTAATAGGCGCTGAGTGCCAATACTTTTTAAGACCTGTTTACAGTGTGTAAAACTAATATTACTAAAAATGTGTCACATAAAACTATCACTGTAAAATGAACCATTCTATGCAGATTTGCACCAGTCAGCTCATACTAGATTATATGAGGGAGATATGCTATGCTGGGCAATTAAGATCCATACCAGAAAATTTAGCTCAGTGCACCCTCCCCTTTCTCCTGGGCTGCTGAGACATCATTACACACCATACATAGTCCTATTGTCAGTCTTAAGGGACAGAAATGCATTAGAAAAGAAAGTTTAGACTCCTGAAACTGCTGCAGATCACAAGTGGAGAGAGCTCTGTTGCACTCAAGTCCTGCTTGTGCACTTCCCCTAGGCACCTGGCTGGTCATTATGAGAGCAGAATGTTGAACTAGATGGGCCTTTGGCCTGATATGATGGGGCTCTTATGTTCTTATGTGTGGTGTTCACTTTGAATACACACACCCCAAGTAAATAACAAGGTATATGCCCTGCACTAGGTGGAAGACTGGGGGCTAGAACTTAAGAGGAAGAAGTGGAGAGAGAAGAGTTAAGGCTGATGGGAGTTTGGGACATCAACCCAGGAAGGGGCATGGATGGTATGAAGTGCATTAGCATACTCTTCTCTACCCTCTTCTCAGGGCCTCCACACTCAGGTTACTGTCTCACTAGAAGACTGTAGCATTATAAAATTTTATAATCCAAGCAGGAGCTAATGAAGATCACTCACAAAAATATATAGGCAGTTTTGCAGACTCGCTACAAGTTAGTTAAACACTGGAAGGCAACTCTTGCATCTGTAAACTAAGAGAACTAGTGTAGATTAGGAAAGTGTGTGTATAACTTTGCTCTGCAGCTTAACTAATTTTACCCTCCCCAACTGCTTCCCTTATCTTTCATTAATGTTTTCCTTGGTTCACCGTAATAGTGTAAGTGGCCATGAAGAGCTGTATAGTTATTGGGTGGGACACTGAAGGAAGTTTTTCAATATGGGGTACTATTTCTATGGAGACGGAAATCTATTTTTGTATTCTTGAATGAATCTTTGTATTCAGGCACTGATGTGGACCAGAGGTAGGGATTTTTCTCAGCCTGAGGGCTGAATTTCCCTTCTGGGCATCTTTCTGGGGGCCATATGCTAGTGGTGGGCAGAGATAGAAGCAAAAGTGGGAAGAGCAACGAATGTAAACTTTGCTTCTGTACAGCAGGTTAGTTTCTGCATGCACTCACACACCCCTCTCTATCCTCCATCCAGGGAAATCAATGACACATTCCAGCCAGGCAGTAACATTCAGGGGGTGAAGCAGGATGAGTGAGGGTCCTGGGGAGAGTTCAGTGGGCCATACTAAGAGGGCTGGAGGGTCTCTATTTGACACCCTGTAAACCTGAGGTTCCCCACCCATGCTGTGGAGACTAGAAGGCAAGGGTGGAGACTGAAGTTGGTTCCTGGGTTTGCAGTTCCTCATTCAAGAGAGGTGCTTCTACTACCTGAAGAAATCGGGGCAGGGGAGATTTCTTCCATAAAGTAAGTTTTCCCCCTGCAAGGTGCCCTAGTATTGCATTAAACCAAAAGCTTCACCTTTGTGCAAATAATGTCCCTCCATGCAATTTGTCACTCATAAACATATGAATGAACTAATAAACATAAGAAACAGCAGGATTTACATTTGGGAATAAACCCTGGACCATCCCAAGCTATGCCAACTGTTTCTGATTTGAGTGTGGACTTATTTTAGGGGACAAATATTGCAGTAGGGGGTCCTATAGTTCCTTCACTTGCGGGTACATTTCCACCAGCTTGTTCAAAACACATTGACTATACTATGGCCAGCACATAATTCAGGTGTTTAAAAACTTGCACTGGCTGCCCATACACTACACTACCAGGCCAGGTCCTTGTATTAATTTACAAGGCCCTTAACAACTTAGGTCCAGGATACCTCAAGGACTACTGAATCCCTTATATCCCTGCCCAGTCACAGAGGTATTTGGGGGAATCACTGTTAATGGTCTCCATGGTTCAGCTGCACGACTCCTACCCACCAGAAGCAGTGCATTCAGTGTTGTGCACCCAATTTTATGGAACTCCCAATTGAGATCAGGTAGGCCCCCACTCTGTTGAACTTCAAGCACCTCTTTTATCCCAGCAGGAATTTTAATAGAAATATGAATTTATCATGTTGACAATTTCTAAATATTTTCTGTATTGTATTTATTGTACACGGGACACGGGTGGTGCTGTGGTCTAAACCACAGAGCCTAGGGCTTGCCGATCAGAAGGTCAGCAGTTCAAATCCCCGCGACAGGGTGAGCTCCCATTGTTCGGTCCCTCCTCCTGCCAACCTAGCAGTTCAAAAGCACGTCAAAGTGCAAGTAGATAAATAAATAGGTACTGCTCTAGCGGGAAGGCAAACGGTGTTTCTGTGCGCTGCTCTGGTTCGCCAGAAGCGGCTTAGTCATGCTGGCCACATGACCCGGAAGCTGTCTGCGGACAAACACTGGCTCCCTCGGGCCAGTAAAGTGAGATAAGCGCCACAACCCCAGAGTTGTCTGTGACTGGACCTAACGGTTAGGGGTCCTTTACCTTTACCTTTTTATTTATTGTACACCACTTAGAGACAATTGTAGTTAAGTTGTAAAATAATTGTTTCAAGAAGTAAAAATAAATAAGTGGCAATAAAAATATATATAAAAGATACACACTAGAAAACACCTTGTACAAACATGCAATTTTGGCAGAACACAGTGGATCCTAAGGCTACTATCCTATATACAAATTCTACAGGGCTTTCATTTGAGTAGTAAAAACAACTATTTAAAAATAATTAAAACCAATGATAAGCTGAAAAACTGATTAAAACATGTGTCTACATATCTGGATAGGCTTGCCTAAACAAAAATATTTTTAGCAGGCACCAAAGAGAGTACAGTGAAGGCACCTGCCTGATGCCAACAGGCTGCGAGTGTGGGTGCTGCCACAGTAAAATATCTATTTCTTACACTGTGAGATGAGTATCATGCGACACCTGTAACAGTGCCAGTTCTGCAGATTGGCCAAGTGTCATATATGGATAAGGTGATGTTTTACCATAAAGTGGCTTCCACTGCTAATAGTAAAACCAGTTAATATAATATTTTAACATGAAACTAGAGTGACTGGCACAGACACAGTAGTTGAGTATTACTTTGTGTCATGGTAGTGGCTGTCATTAAACTCTTGTCAAACAAATTAATAATGTCATAGTCTTGTCAGCATACTCTGTGTCATTTCTCTCTGCTACTTAGCCTGATGAGCAAGAATGCTCCTTCTTAACGATACACCAAGTCCTAATTGCAATGGCTGCTTTTGGACCCTTCCCAGTGTCACTTGCCGCCTGATTTCCCAGCAGGAAATGTCTAATGCAAAGGTGAAAGTAGCTCAGCCAGGAGTAGTCTCTGAACAGGAACACCACTACTTCAATTTTTTATTTTATTTTTACAAAAAACTCTTTCACTTCTCCTTATGCTGATGATGTCTCTTTAATGACAAATGCAGATGCTTGTCTGGGCTGCACCACTTGGGCAGGGCTGTGTGGTGGTCAGGGACTGTGTTCTGCAGACAGAGCTCACACCCATTCTGCCCGTTGCCTGTAGCGTGTTTGCTTGGAATGACAGCCTCTAGGACATCCTCAGACAGGAGCCAGATGATTGTTTTAAAGAGAATTGAAAGTGGTTTGAAAGAGGCTTTGCTTCTTGTGGTGTACAAACATGTCCCCTTTGTCACATTGTTGCTTATGTTCCAACAGATTGTGCAGGATTTTTCAAAAATGAAAAGCCTGCCAAACTTATTGGATCAAAGATAACAGTGGAATGAGGATACACACCCAAGAGTGTTCACTCTTTCAAGCTGCCCCCGACTTCTTGGGGAGGGGGGGAAAGATGTTTGTTTGCCTCCTCAGTTTGTATCAGGAGATGTGCAGTTTTGTCCCTTACTGTCTCAGTACAAATCTTTGCACACTTCCCCTACAGGCATGTTTCCTTTGCCTGAAATTGTAGGCTTAGGGCTTGGGGTTTTGTTTGTTATGTTTGGAGTTTTATGTGCTGTGTGTTACCCACGTGGATGAAGACAGGAAGTTGGTAGTTTTGTAGTACAAGAAGTTACAGAATTGTTATCAAGAAAGCACAGGACAAGCATCAATTGCAACTAATCTAGTTTAATCACCCTGGAACATTCACAGGCGCATTATTGAAAGTGCAATCATGTACAACTTCACCATTAACACATTGGGGGCAAATCATGATGAATGTGCAATAAAAAAGACATCTGGAGGGGCTCTATGTTTCAACAATTTTTCCCCTCCCCCAATATATATTCAGATGTAATAAACATAATCATGTTAATTACTTTAAAAAGACAGATATGTCAACAATAGAAATGGAGGGGTATGAAGTTAGAGTATAAAATTAGTGTTAGATAAACTAGGGAGCTAAGACTGACTGCAAGTACATTGTACACTGGCAGGCAGTGGCTGACTATCCAGGGTTCCAGACAGGTGCATTTTCCAAATCTATCTGGAGGTACCAGGGATTGAACACAGGATCTTTTGCATGCAAAGCATGTGCCCTCCCAGAACATTAAGTTATATATTATGTAATGACTCATTCTATATGGTTCAAAATATGAATTTAAGACCCCAGATTTCAAGATTTCATAAACTCCAGATTTCATTTTAAAAACATTCAGTAATGTAAAACTGTACTGTTCTGGTTAATCAATTTAAGACTCTCCAATCAGTTCACTGAAACCTTTTTGTCCTTCTGTTTCTGCAGTGGGAACCATAGCACAATGTGTCGCACTATGTCAGTGGACAAACCCCAATATGTTAGGATGAATCTTTAGATAATTCCAGAACTCTGCATCTACTATTTCTTCATTTTTCATATCAGTATCTTGTTAACAGGCAGCAGAGTTGAACTATTCTGGCTTCACTGGGGAGGAAAAGGAAGAGACTTTTTAGCTTAATTCCCTCTAAGGTCAGAGGAGTTAATTTCATTGTGAATGGTTCTGTGGCTATTGGGTGTGGCCCAGCAGGACAGCATGAGCACTACTTGACTGACAGCCAAAGTGGGCAGGACAGCATTTGGGGGAAGGTAATTCTTTAGCATCACTTGCTATAGCAGAAGCCTCTTCCCCTTCTGGCCTCTAGGATGTGGTTTTCCAGCTTGCTTGCAATGATAGCCTGTAATTCCTTTGGCCAAGAGCAATCTGTTTTTATTCGCCTTTTGATCCTGGAAGCAGGTATGAGGGGGTAGTATGTTAGAAACCTGCTTTGCAGCTACAGTAAACTGCTTCCTTTCACAACACTAGGACTTCATGGGCATCAAATGACACAATGTTTGCTATAAAAATCTGGAGGTTTGGTATAGTGAAGTTCTGCAGGTTGAAGGGTGGAAGAAGGGCATAAGAATGGAGTAAAAGTCAGTGCAAGGAGAGAACTGTACTCCAGTGAAGACAGGACCATGTAGTAATGAACTGTATAAGTAAGAAGGGTTTACAGCACAGTCCTGTACAACTCATGACCACACAAGCCAAACAGAGCCCAGAAGCCTAATGCTATCATTGCCAGGTCAGGTGCTATACCACCCCACTGTTCTTGTGGTCTCAAATAGCAAAAGCAATAGATGTACTGAGATCTCAGTGAGCCCTTATACTTGTATGGGGCAGAAAGGTGATTTTTAAAAATACTATAAACTGCCCTGTGCTCCTCAGATGAAAGATGTCATTCAGCTGGGCAAGTCCAAAGTTGTGTAGATCTATGTTGCAGAAAAAGTTTCAGGATGTGTGGAACTTCAGCTTACAAACATGATGATATTAAACAAAAAGTCCGAGAGAACCCCATATGTGCTCCGAGTTCTGGATGCTGCAGTTCTAAACTTGTTGTTAGACATGGTATATGGCAATTTTTGGAATATTGATAGGCAGCAAAAGATTTAAATTATTATTATTATTGTTATTATTATTATTATTATTACCACTAGGGAAGGTTTCATTTTTCTACCTCAGGCACCAGCATTCCTTGGACTGCCTATGTGCAAAAGTAAAGGTAGAAGGTTATGTCCTATCTCTAGATATAAGGGCAGGAAAAGTCGGATCAGTAAAAAGACTAAGGTTTCACAGACTGAACATTAGATATTTAGGGAAGAACATATTCTGTGCCTTAAAAAAGCAAATGTTTGCATCAAGGAAAGTGGAGCCCAGGCTAAAATTATGTTTGTGTGAATTTGCTTGAATCAGTACAATGTACCTTCATTTCATCAAAATTTAATCCTCTGCAGTATATTTTGTGAAAAATAAGAGTAGAACTAAACAAAGGATGAGAGGAAGCAAGTGCTGAGTGGAAGGGAAGGAAAACACAGATTAAGAGACATAGATTCTGTGCAGAGACAGAAGAAAGACCATGCAAATCACACAGACCAACACAACCCCAACCCATGCCCTGCTTTGGGTTTTGCACCTTTGTTAGACCATGTCCACATCCTTCTTAAACATTTATCTACCACCAAGAAGGCTGTAAGCTTGTAGAAAAAAGAAGCTGTGGTTCAGCTGATTGATGCTGGCAATGCTGCATTGTATAGTGCATGGGTAAAAGACACCGCATCAGAAAGCCCAACTTTTTTATCCAAGGTCTTCATTACACACACTTCATTACACACACATTAACAAAGTGGGGTATAGATTTTATGGACAGAATAGGTGTAGTAGAAGCCCAGATAACGATCAGTCTTGGATTCCTATCACTGTTCATGCTCTGTCCACTTTCTTTTCCCTGCTTTTTCTTTGAATGCATCATCTCCAAGTTTCAAGGCTAGTATCTGTGCTACAGAAAATAAGAAAAAAATAAGCAGAGGTAGGGCAATAGACAGCTGTAGTGTGGAAGGGGATACTGCCCGACTATGGTGCCCAACATGGCAAGAAAGAGGGGAGAGGGAAGGAACAGAGTGGCATAGCTGTACTCTGGAGAAGAAAAGTCCATCTCTCTTCCAGTTGTTCCAGGAAGAGGGAGAAGTTCAATACAACAACAGCATTTCTGTCTCTGTGGAAGAGTCATTTGCATCAGCCAAATAGCCCTTTTGCCTTCTTCCTTTTGCTCTTGGCAATGGGCAAATGAACCTTCTGGGTCTGGGAGGAAGGTACCTGGAAAGAAGAGGCAATAGTTAGAACCAATCAGTTAACAAATCAATTCATGAGTAGGAACAAACAAAAACAATTACAGCCACACAGGATCTCTCTGGTATATTCACTTCGAGCATTTGGCTATCCAGACACAGAGCTTACATTTGTTGCATGGGTTGTGAACAGTAGCAAGTAGCTGGCAGTAGCACTTGGTAATGTTGGTCATGGGATAAATGTGCCTTTTGTAACTTATGAAGGTTATATCTCTGGGGCAAAAAGAAGCTGGAGGAGTCCACATGACATCCATGAGTTAATCAATCTCACAGTGAACAAGGGAAGTCCCTACTCCAGACACCAGCTAGTCCTCTTGATGCAGGGCACTCAGTAAGGGGATGGTGAAGCATGGTTTGGATTGACCAAGACCCCCTTGCCTATGCCATTTCCCCTTTGTTTATATGAAAACTACATTCCTAAGGACTCTCTAGTTACTCTTTTTCATGCAGTAAATCAAATCTTGATTTTGCTTTGCACTGACATTTTAGTACTATTGTTTTTCCACATGGCCAAACTTATATTCACTTATTTATACACGTGCAATTTTTACTCTTTTGTAACAGGGATAGACACCTTTCCATTAGGAAGCTCCGCTGTGATAGAACATCATATTTTTCTAGCATTCAAAATGCAATATATAATCACTGGGGAAATGTAATTCTCTCTCCCAGTCACTGCAATCTGGAATGCTGTCTGGAATGCAGTTGTATGAATGTCACATACACTTATTGCCTAGTGCCTATAACAACACTACTGGCAAACGACTTAACTCCTCGCACACACAAATGCCATCCTCATTTTATGAGCTTTCAAAAATTTGTATGCGCTGGCAGGGTCAGTACATGATCTTCTCTTCCCATGTGACTTTGCTACTTCACATATCACTGGAGCACTGCGGGATAGAATAATATGAAAGTGGCAACCATACTGCTTCAGCAAACTAGGCCTTAGGTCTGCTTTCAATTCCTGTTTTCTCCCCTTCTCATTAGTTTCTCCTTATTCTGTAAAACCCATCTACCCTTTTAAGTCTTTCTTCTACCAACAGCATGTTACTCCACTTGCCTGGAAGAGCCTCCTCCTTCTAATCTATTAACCTACCTCCCAACACTTTTCCTATTTCATTTCTCCCCCAGCATAACATGTTTCCACTGCCATCCTTGGTCATATCCTCGATGGGTGACTGCACAGCTCCTGTGGCTCCCAGTATGAATCCCTATGAAACTGCTGCCAGAAGGATGAAGGCAGATGTACATTTTAAAATGTCTAAGTGAAGGGACCATAGCTTAGTGGTAGAGCACATGCTCTGCATGCAAATGATCCCCAGATTTAAACCCTGGCATCAGGTAGCAGTAATGGGGAAAACCTTTGGCCAAGAACCCTGGAGAATCATTGCCAGTCATAGTAGAGAGCACTGGACTTGGTGGACCACTGGTGAGTCAGAAAAAGACACCACTTTTCCCATGCCTTCTGCTGCTAGGGAGCTCTCCTCCTCTCCTATTTACATTACAAATATACCTTGACAAGCCTTTTGCCACGCACCCCCAACCCACAGCTGGTATTCAGTAAGCGGTGAGCAACAGTACCTCACACTCTCTTGTGTTTGTTGCCAAACTGTAGACATTCACCTGCCCCTTTCTATTCTGAGATTGCAGGACATACACGGGCTGGCAACCTATGGTTTGCTTACTCCGCCACACCTCTGTGGAGCTGGCAGACCACTATATAACATAACAGAGCTGCAAAATCCAGTAGATGCATCAGGATCTCTGGGAAAGTTCCTGTGTCTCTCCATCCACATTCACGGCATGGTTACCCCAAATCATATCCTCATACATCTATCCCTTCCCTGGCCCATTCCCACATGTACGCTGAGGGGCTCCTCTCACCACTGTGTCTTGTGTACACTGAGCAGCTGCTGACTGCGATTCAGTCTTCTTCTCCTCAGTTGGCAAATCTGCAGCCTTCTGGGCAAGGTCCTGGAAGCTGGCATGTTCAGGACTCTCACAGTCTCCTGATAGTGTCAAATAAAAACAACATGCATGGGAGCGAGGAATTCAGTAGGCCAATGTACATAAGAAAGAGCAGGGGCAAGGGATAGAAATCAAATAAATATATGTTTGTAAATTGACATCTCCTATCTACCTAGGTACCTACCTATACAGAAATATAAATCCTTCCCCCTAAGATCACAGAGCTGTAGAGTAACAACAGTAGCATCCCGGGAAAGGATAATTTTAGTTTAACAAGAGGCCATCTCTTCTGGCTTCATGTGATCTGGGGGTAGCAGCAGCAACTAACCCACAAGTCTATCCTCCCTCCAACATCTAAGGAAGATAATTCACATCCTCACTCTATACCACTTACATAAGTTTAAAACTTGTAAATGGAAACAGCTGGAAGGGGTTGGGCCATACTGAAATGTACAGGGGAACACTAACAGTAGGGAAGGCAAATATGACCACATTTTATTTAGTTATCCAAATGTATAGCTTTGCTCATTAAATTTCATAGTATTTTACAAAATTAAAAGTATCAACAATAAAAGAATAAAGAATAAAAAGTCAGCAAGAGTACATACAGTAGCAGTCATAGAAGAAATCAGTCCTTGAAGATTTTTTGAAACATAATTTTTATTGGCTTCCATAAAGGACAGAAGGGGAAAATATGTGTGTCTCTTTTTTGGAATAATTCCAAAGAATTAGGACTGCCACTGAAAAGACACTGATCCTTGTAAAGACCTCAACTGCCAGGAGAGAGAGCATAGGGAAGGAGACTTTCCCTAAGATAATCAGGACCCGAGCATTTGAGGGCTTTAAAGGGTTAAAAAGCAGCACTTTGAATAGGGGCTTGAATCAAATAAGCAGGTAGCTCGCACATGGGCATAGCCAGGATTTATGTTAGCAGGAACAGGATTTATGTTGGGGGGGGGCAGAACTGAGCTATCTGCAATGTGATAGGTCAGTTAGTTAAGTATTTTTATTATTTACTTGATTTAAGCGGGAGGCAGCTTCACACACATACACCCCGCCCCCTGGCTACTCCCATGAGCACAGATGCCTCAAAACAGGTGATATAGGACCATACTGATAGGCACCAATCAACAGGCAAGTAGCTGCATTATGTACTAGCTGAAGCTTCTGAATAGACTTTGAAGGCAGCATCATATGGAGTGCATTATGGCAATCCAACCTTGGAATAACTAAAGCAGGGATGGAGAACCCCATGTCTAACGCCAAATGCAGCTCTCCAGGCTTCTCTCCAGACCACACTCCCTCCCCAGGCTACAACCCTTGCTGGCCTTCCTTCAGAAAATCAAGTCTTTTTGCCTGGCCTTAATGTCTCTTTGTACACTGATTGACTCTTCCTTGCCTACATGGAGTATAGAGAAGGGTGTGCAAGTGTGTATAAATTAGGGGTCTTTACCATGGTGTCTGTGAAGGTTTCCAATGGTGCGCCTGGGCAGGTGCAACAGACTCTGAGCTTTCACTTTTTCTTTTTTTTTTAAAGTAAGTCTCTAGCTCTTCTAAAAAGGAGGTTATGGGGCAGAATGTGCAAATTCCTTTTTAAAAAATTAGTTTTTATGAAGGAGTTTTTGTTTTAGAAAGCAAACAGATAAACAGGGAAAGGTACATCTATTGTCTCCACGTTCAATTCATAGTCTTTTTCATAGTTCGTTTATGTTTGGTGAGAGACCCTTTTGTCATAGACATATTGCAGTTTGGGGGAAGAAGTGGGGGAGAGAGAGATGGGGGTATTGTTCTTTTATTCTATTGCCTATTACTGTATTAGTTTAGGTGGGCTGTGTCAGCATCACATGGGTAGGTCCTTTGTTTATGTATTATTTATTATTGATAATGCGAGACGTTAGGGCAGGCTTCCTCAACCTCGGCCCTCCAATGTTTTCGGCCTACAACTCGCATAATCCCTTGCTAGCAGGACCAATGGTCAGGGATGATGGGAATTGTAGTCTCAAAACATCTGGAGGGCCAAGGTTGAGGAAGCCTGGGTTAGGGATTCCCAAGCTTGGTTGATTTCATTCAGCTGAATGCAGTGTGGCTTGTTTTTTGGGGGGAGGGCTAGGTTGTTGGGTCAGGCAAGCCATACTGATTTTTATGCTGTTGTGGGGGGATAGGTCATTGTCCCGTTGTGCTGTGTTTGTGATAAAGGGGAACCACACCGGGGCATAGCTGTCAACTTTTCCCTTTTCTTGCAAGGAATCCTATTCGGAATAAGGGAATTTCCCTTTAAAAAAGGGAAACGTTGACAGCTATGCACCGAGGTGAATGCGTCCTCCTTTGCTTGTCCCTGTGTTAGTTTGAGTTTGTTGGTTAACTTCTCTAGTAGTGTGGGTTCCCACACATTTCGGTACCCATGGTCTATGTTCACTCCCGATAGGTTCTTCCAGTGTTTAGTTACGATATTGTGTAAGCATCAAGTTGTTGGGGGTGGTTGGCTCTCTAATTTTGTGTTATGTTATGTCCTCCAACAGCAGTCATTTTGTGACTGGCTCTCCCAGTATTTCTTCAAAATTCAAAATGTGCTCACAAGTCGAAAAAGGTTGGCAGCCCCTGGTATAGATTCTAGCCTATTGTACAAAGATACGTGCCAGTGGTGGGCAGGAGCCAAAGGCAAAAGTGAACAGAGCAATACATGTGAACGTGGCCCTTGAAAGACTGCCCAGAAAGGAATGTGATTTTGGGGCTGAAAAAGGTTCCTCATCCCTGTACTAAAGCATGAACGATAATGGCCAGAGTGGCCAGTGCTTAAGACAGATGAGCAGCAATTGCAAGGAGAAATGGCAAAGATGTACAAGAGAATAATACACATAAAAATGGCACATCAAGAGGTTGTTTCACTCTCTTGTGGGTAAGACTAGCTTTCTTTCTTTTTTTGAGCTAGAAGCAACCCATCTGGAGATGCATCAGGAAAATTGCATGGCTATTTTGTGGCAGTTCAAAAACATCAAAGTTAAGATTATTCCTGTTTATGGTCATTGCCAGATGTATTCCTATCTTCACAAGAGTACTGTTGCAGTAGACACATCCTTCCCATTGCATGATTCATTTACTCACCTTCCCAGTGCCGTTTGCAAGCTGCCCTAGCCTGCTTTTGGGACACTGACACATAGAGCTCTTTCAGGTTAGAAGTGAATTGGTGCCCATCTCCCAGGCAGCAAGCCTGGGGCAAAATCTGTGAAGCAAAATGGGAGCATGTCAAGCTAGCTATGAAGCATGTCAGAGGTGGGAATACAAGAAACTAGACTACACAACACAACACAAGACAGCCTCATTTCAACTACAGTGGTACCTTGGTACTCAAATGACTTGGCTTCTGAACAAATCGGCTCCCGAACGCCGCAAACCAGGAAGTAAAAGTTCTGGTTTGCGAATGTTTTTTGGAAGCCGAACGTCCGGCACGGCTTCCTCTTGAGTGCAGGAAGCTCCTTCATCCAATCAGAAGTTGTGCCTTGGTTTTCGAATGTTTTTGGGCAGTGCTTTTTTCTCAAAAATTGTTTAGGGGTACTCTCATTTTTCTACTGATATTGAAATACTGCCCCTCAATGAGGCCAAACTTAGATTCACAAAATGTTTAGGGGTATGCGTACCCCTGCATCCCCCCAGAAAAAAGCACTGGTTTCGGGAGTCAAACCGACTCCCGAAATGGATTAAGTTTGAGAACCAAGGTACCACTGTGCAGCTCAACAGATAGGCACTTAGAAGGATGCTGATTCTGTACTACAGTGTTACCAATAATGCTTGTGATAGGAAAGGCATCTCAGTAGTTGTACTGTATACTAAACAGCCGTAATTGGGGAGAGATAATATTTTAGTGGTAGAGCACATGCTTTGCATACAGATGGTCCAGGTTCAATCCTCGGTACCTCCAGTTAAATGGGTGATGTAGCAGGTGAGGGGAGGAATCTCTGCCTGATATTCAGGAGAGCAGGCAATACTGGGCTAGATGGACAAAAACACTGACCTGATATAAGGAGCCTCATAGATTAATTCTTGCAATGGCTCTCACTGCGAAATAATCAGTGCTTCAAGTATCACTTCCTGGGGAAATTCTCACTATACATTAAAGGATTTCCAATTTTCAATCTGGAAGCTAGAATGAAATGGGAAAGATGCCCAGTTTCACCACATCCAAAATGGGGTAGCTACAGTGTTTGGAGGAGGAGATCCCAGCTGCTGCTGCTGCTACTTACATCAGGCATGTGCAAAGTCCATTTCGGGGGCCTAATCCAGCCCGCTGATCAATTTAATCCAGCCCCCGTGGGAGTATATGTCCTGGGGTAAAATCCTTTAAAAAAAAGCCCAGCAACTTCAAGGTAAACGTCAATCCTAAAAAAGCTGAACAACTTTGGGGGGAAATTGTAAAAAGCTCAACAACTTTGGCCGGCCCTCACACATGTTCACTTTGAAAAAAGTTTGGGCACCCAGATACACACACTGATGAGGAAGAGCTGTGAAACAGTCCCCCCCCCCTTTATGACAAAATGGTGAGGAGAGCTATCATCACAGGGTGAGGGGCACATGGCCTACACCCACCCCTGAACACAGTGAGCCCAGCCTGCTGCCTGCATTTCAAAGGCTTCCAGAGATAACTTCTCTGTGCACTGTGCCTGCTCCACACCCAAACAGTCGGGAGAACAAAGTGTAACAGATAACAGGGCAGTTCCTCTCCAGGCACTCACCCACTGAGCTGCTCAAGGCCAGAGTCCAAAGGCAGTGCCTGTCACCCACTCCTCCCACTCCAGGCCATAGGAGTGGCACAAGGCTCCCAGCTAATAGTAGAGGGGACAGCAGGCTGACAGAAAGGGGTGGGGAGTGAGAGAGGAATGTCACACAGGTCTTGATACAACTCCCAAAGCACCCTAAACTCTTTCAGGACCATTTGAGCATCAAGTAGGGCTCCAGCTTCCCTCTGGCAACTGGTCATTTGCATATATTAGATTAAACATGTTAAACTGCCTTATACTGGGTTGCACCATTGCTCCAGTATAGCCTAGTGTTGTCTACTCTGACTAGCAACCACTCTTCAAGGCTTCATGCAGTGGTCTTCCCCACCTCTGCAAGATGAGATATTAGGAACTGAACCCAGAACCTTCCTGTAAAGCAGGTGATCTGTCACTGAGCTACAAAGATATTCCGCTACATGTGGCGGGGTGAGGGGAGCTTATTCTTCAGATGTGGAGATCTTCCTATTCTATCCAAATGCCAACATCCTAAAAAATATTAATGTGAGGTCCAAGGAAGTAAAGGAGGCTGGGATCACTAATTTGGGAGATATCCTACTGAGTGGCAGAAGTCATGTAAAATAATCTGGGGATAATCTGATGTCATCAATTCCTGTTGTGTACAGAAGTCTGAATGGAAGCCTCAGCTTCACGATGCAGAGTAGTGGGACTCTGCCTATCAACTCCCTTCCCTACAACATGAGGTTTGTGACATGAAGCTGGGTCCATATGAATCACTCGCACTGCAATGCAAGCGTGTGTTTCTCCTTCACCAAAATGAGTAGACATTTGCCTGCTACAAGTTCAGACGAAAGGCTCTGCCATTGCATTGTGACTAGAACACATTCTGCAAATGATATAAATAATGCACCTGCTCTTTGATCTATCACTTTGGGTTCAATGGAAGTAAATGGTTCCACATCAACAGAAGAGGCAACTACACAGTTGGGAGACGACCACACACACCAAATTAAGCTGTCCTGATGGCAAAAGTACTGTTAAAGAAAGCAAGGAGGTTGGGATGCAGAGGATATAATCACCAAGGGTAGGCAGTTAAGGAGTATTGGAAATGAACCTATAGGCTATGACAGGGAATAACAGGATGAAAAGACTTATTCTTGCAGTTGCTAATGAAAGGCCCTTCCAGTGTAACCAAAGCCTTCACAGAAAATGCTTTTATTTGTATGTGCTTATGTTACTTGGTTCTTCTGAGGAATCCAGACACTTTCCTTCAAAGTGCTTCTGCTGCAGGAAAATCACATATTCCCAGTACTGAAAGGATAATATTATGCCACACAGCAAATGCAACCACTCGTCTCCCCTAATCATACACACATTTGGATTGCAAATGCTGCAGGATTGTGGGCACCTACTGACTATGGCCCATAACATGACTGGAGATGAGTGACAACCCTTTGCCATGCCGATGTTATCATATTTTTTGTTTCTCCTTACCACTTGGAAGTTTTGAGTACTCATTTGCTGTTCCATGAAGCCCTTTAACAACTGTGCCTGCAGCACAGCCTCTCACCATTTTATTACACTTTATGATTTTGTTTCTCTTTTCTTTGGAGGCTATGCAAAGGAGGACACAAATATCTCATTTTACCAATACGAGCATAATGAAAAGCTGCTCCTTTGAAATAAAGCTGCCCCACCTCACACATTATGTTGTACATTATGGCACCGAGTTGACAAGCATCCAGAATAATATGTGCAACCACTGGAAAGGCCCACAGAGTCTTTGGCAAATGCTGCATTCACCTTTTACAGCCATGAAGGCTAGAAGGAGGTGCTTTTTCAAATGAAACCTAGTGTTATGACCTATTCATAGTGACAGTGTGATTATATCCACCCAGTATAATTCAGTACCTCAGCAATTTTAGGGAGCGTTCACCCTGTTCACTGATACAATATGGTCCAGAATACCATATTCAAAACAGAAACAGAACAGAACTACTGTGTGTTTTCCTGCATGTCTCTAAAAGGAGAAGGCAAACACATTGGCCAGAGGTATACCACTAAGGAAAATGAAAGGAAGGGATTGCCAGGGACTTGAGCAATTGTTAATGGTCACTGCATCTACAAACTGTGCTTTTCTCTATAGCACATGGTTTGGCTTGCTTGCTTGAGACATCTTGTTCAATCTGTTCCTCTGTAGATGCTTTTTCCTGCAGTACCCCTGCTCTTTTCCTGAGGAACAGTGGGCTTGTTTGCAGGGAGGGAGTAGTGGGTGGACTTGCTTTTGAGAGGAGCCTAGGTTTAGATAAACCTTTGTCCCCTTCATACCCCACAAACAAAAGGTTTTGCTTATAACCATTGAGATCAGCATTTTCATCAAGTCCAGCCTGTGGTGAGTTGTAAAACTGGCAGGTGAATGAACCCCAAAGGTAGGGCAAGAATAGCCAATAGGCAGTTGGAGGTGCCAGATCAAAGGCAAAGACATAGTCATAACTCAAGGAAAAGTAAACAGCAGGGGACCGGCACAGAACAAAAACAGTGTACCCAGGGCAGGCACCGTGGCGGGTCATTGCCACCCTTCCTTGCTTTCCCCATCCATTCACTCCCCCCTACAATGGTAATACTGGCAGAAATCAAGGTGGTAGTAAATCCCAGGGCATGGTGACCCCCACTGCTTTCTCTAAGCCACTGCCAGAAATTGTGCTCTGTGTATCTCAAAGCCTATGGTCTCTCACTAAGACAAGCACTGATTCTTTGCACAAAGCTAAGGCTCAAGTGCCCCATGTTACTCTGGACTGTAAGCCAGAGTACATTATGGCAGAGGACATTATGGCAATGACTGCAGAGGATGAGCAAAATCTCTGCACTTGTCATTCTAGAAAGGGATTCTCCACATATTCATAGGAGAGCCATTAGACCCATTTTGGCATGTAAGTGGTATATAAATAAATAACAGGAACATAGGAAACTTATACAGTGCTGCACCATTATCCCATTTAGCTCAGTATTGTCTACACTGAGTGGCAGTGGGTCTTCAGAGCTTCAGACAGGGTTCTTTCCTGGACCTATGTGGAGATGCTGGGGACGGAACCTGGAACCTTCTGTATGCAAAGCATGTGTTCTACCACTGAGCTGTAGCCCTGTCCATGAGATCAGAAAGTATATATTCCACTGTGATGCCCTTGGGGCTATTAAGGCAGCAAAGATGAGTTGGGGTTATTAGCATGTCTCTGTAGAGCAGAAACTTGCCTAAGTAACACAAAATAAGGTCATCTTGCCTAAGGAAGCTCTGGTGCCATCTGGTGTTGACAATGCTCCAGATTTGTTTTTTAAAAGAAGTGTCTCAAGGCTCAATCCTCATTAAGTAACAGATCACTATGAACCAAGCATGGCAGAGACTGAACAACACACAACTGGTGTTCCCTCTGTTAAAACTGCCCATCCAGTGGATTCATAGCACCTGTACACTCACTGTTTCCATAAGAAGCCCATCCTTATAGTGCATTTTAATCCATTTGGAGGGAAAGGGAGAGCATGAGAGCACAAAATACCTTCTTCCCTCTTTGTAACGTAACGGAACACAACATAACAGCTGCTTTTGCTGTCCAGTATCTGAGCTCTGTTCAGATGGCTAGCCACTCTTTGCACCCAAGTGGCATCTACACAGTTTGGGTAATCACCCCAGTGGGGGTTACATCAAGCTGCTAGATATGTTAATCATCACACATCATTCTAGTCTTGCATTTAGTTTAATTCCTGCAATAGCCCAGGATAGCAGCAGACTGTTGGTGGCAGCTGGTTAACTGTAAGACATCTCAATCTCAATTTGCTGCAATCCTAACTGTATCTACCCAGAAGACAAGTACTTTTGAATTCAGTGGGACTTACTCCCAGGTAAGTGGGAATAGGAATGCAGCCACAGTTCTTAAAGCCAGTTAGATTCTCATAGTAATGGACCAAATATGTAAAACCAGGTTAAAATGTGTCAAGTACAGCATATTCAAATGTCACGAATTCCTAAGCAAAACTTTTGGAGTAAAGTTATTATATAAAACAGTCAAGCGAGTAATCAAACAAGCTAACTCTCAACAAACAGAACCATTCCAAGAAACAAATACTAATTGGCTAACAAGGCACATTATACTTCCTCACATGATGTCATCATGTCTTCCTCCTCAAGACAAAACAAAACAAGGAGACATTTTTCAAGGCTGTCAGAATTCAAAACTGAATGTGTTGTTCAGATTTTCAGAAATCTGCATTGTTTACAAATGAACAACATAGGTCCACAGCCCTATTCAACTCAGGATTTCCACAGCAATCATTGTCTAAAAGAGAGGTTATAACTACTCTACAATGCCATGATTTATGAAACCTTAGACCACCTACAAATGTCACCTAGTTCATTACTAATAGGTTACTTAAGCAGTCCAGAAACTGCCCCAAGCAGCCTAAACTGTCTCCTCAGTATTCTGCTCATTCTCCCCCTCCCCCCCCCCACAGATAATTTATTATGGACTCCATGTGCCTGAATCCAATGCACCAGCTCCTTCACAAGATAACCAAAGCTTTCTAGGACACTGAAGTAAAAAATGTCCCAAAGATAGTAAAATCGCTACCAAGCAATGTCCAGAAGGGAGTCACTGGGGAAGATGCCAAAAAGCGCACATGCCATTCCCTTGCCTGGGAGCTGTTGCTGAGGTGGGCGGGTGGTTTGGATTGTCCCTGTACAAAATCAGCAAAAAAAGTTGCGTCTCAGCC